TAGTTATGAATTTCCTAGAGCTATTACCTCGCTTAGGTATCCTTGACTTGTCTAGACTCATTCTCAATTTGTCACTTCTTAATGCCTATACACTTAATTCGATTGCTAGTGATCTTATAGTTTGACTACCAATAATAATGACACAACACAATAAATTTCAAAAGATTCTATAAAATAGTGACCACGTATCCCTGTATGTAATCAGAGTACAGTTTGTATATAATTTATTCACACTAACCGATTATGGGTCGTAAGATTTGAGAACTAACACAATATGATGTTGTCAGTCAATTTAAAAGATAGTAAACTCACTACCCAATCAAGCACAAATTATGTTGATTTAAAATCAGAAACAAAAGGAAAAAATATAATATATAATGACAGAATATGAATAACTCTATGAAAAAAAAACGTATGTGTATTGTACTTTTAGTCGGTTGCAGTACAATAGTCGAATTTGTTTTTTTTTTTAAAGAAAAAGCTTTCCCTGCTTGGTGCTGCACCAAACAGACAAAACTTTCAAGGCAGTAATTTTCTCAAGTGGGCGTCTATTGCACCCACCGAGTACTGTGTTACCTATCTGCCTTTGGACTGCCCGAGCTAGACCTACTACAATCCTCAGGGCAGTCACTTTTCACAAAAACGTATTGGGTTTCAATGCACACCAATGAATTACGTTCTTATTAGTTAAGACTTAGTGTCGCGAATATCCGAGTTCGGACCTGCTTTGTTTTGGTCTGGTTTTTATTGAAAGGCAAGTTACCAGTGCAGTCACTGATTCCTAGCCTGTCTGCTAATAACCTAATACCTCTCACCTTAGTCTTTCTTCCGTTTACCTAAGTCCTTTAATAAAATAATACCCCTCCGGATTGCAAAAAATAGGACCCTTCCGGACTAACAAAATTTAGACCCCTCCGGATTGGGACCCCTCTGAGTTAGTAAATATAAGAACCCTCCGGATTGGGACCCCTCCGAATTAGCAAATATAAGACCCCTCCGGATTCAGACCCCTCCTAATTTGAAAAAAAAAATTTTTGACCTCTCCGGATTGGGAGCCCTCTGGTTTGTAAAAGTAGCTTTTCGGAGATTTCCGTCTTTCAACCTATACCCCTCCGGATACGTTCTCCGATGCGATTTTGCTTTTTCAATTAACTAGGAAGGGTATGTAATGCCTTCCTAGACCCTTCCGGATTGAAGTTAAGCCTCTTATTTGACAATTCACGCTAACGGTGAAGGGTCTTATCGCTAGCCTAACTTCAGTTCGATTAAGGTTTTCCTGTGCCTTTAGCCTTCCCCTTTCGTCTAAAACAGCCTAAAGTTACTTTATTTAACCGCTATTACCTTTTGGTAGGGGTGTAAGGGCTTTTCTAAAAAAAAAATTTATAAAACGTGAAGGGTCTACCCTCCCAAATTGGTGAATTTGCTAAAAACAATCTCAAAAAAAAATTTTCACGCTTACTTTTTTGTCCCTATCAGTAAGTTCAGCTAATTTCTGATCTATTGGTACCAAGATCAACTCGATATGCCCAGTAGTTCCAAAGTTATTAATCAAAACGTCTTTTTTCTAAAGTCAAAAAATTTGTCTCATATAGGTTCCGCCTAACTTTTTCCGCAATTCTGTTCTTTTCGACCTAAAAATTATTGATCCGAGCTCAGAAGGCCTACACTCTTCTAGTTCAATGCAAAAGACCAGATCTAAAACGCTTTAGTTGAAAAAATTTGCGAAAAACTATGCTACCTGTACCCCTCCGGATTGATGAATCCACCAAATCAAACACGTTAAGTTCGATTTCTCTGCGAACCTGAAGGCTTTCGGAAAGCGGGTTTTAAAACTTGTAGATTCACTAGTGGACATTGTCCGAACAACTATTTTTACTGTTCTAACTCAAAACTTTCAAAAAATTTTCTGAATTTATAGTGTTTCGTTTTCTCAAAAATCACGAAAATTCGGTTTTTGGATTCAAAATAGTTCCAACCACTTCCGAATTAAACGTAACCGGTTCTATCTATTATGGTAGTGCAGTTACGATGTAACACACTACTTTAGCGCTTTTTTCCGTTTCAAAAAATATCGATATCTCAAAAATCGCGACTTGTGGGGTGATCAAAATATCGCTATTTTGACCCTAAAAACCGGTCTGCTTTCTGTGTTTTTCATTGAAAAACGAGATAGGAGTATTAATATAGGCTATAATAGTAAAAATATTAGTAATACTATACCCCTCCGGGTTTGTTTAATATCCGAAATAAGGTGCTTAACTCGGATATTCGCAGTTCGGTGAAGGGTCACTACAGTGCAGCACTGTCGAGCCCCCCACTGATTACTATCTTAATTTTTGTACCAAAAGGGATACAAAACTTGTTAAGGATACCCAACAGTCGATTGTTGTTGTCGTTGAGCCCCTTCTTGTTGCTCCTTGTACTGCTTGCCGGTTCAGTCTTCTCCCAAGACCCTTCCGAATTGAGCGCAAATCAGCTGACCCTTCCGGATTGAGCGCAATTTATCATTAACGTGCTTAAATGCTCAAATAACCCTACAGTACAAGCCTCACAAACGGGTCACAAAATTAATCGTAAGGATCCTGATTGATATAAATGCCTGTAACAACAATATATCTATCAACAACAAACGGGAGGGTCGGATCACATCTTGTATGGGGGGATGATTTCTACTGATTTTTTACTTTTTTTTACTGTTTTTGGTTTTTTCGGTTATTTTTTATGTTTTTTGTTTCTCTTGGGTACTATACTACTTTTTGTTTGGTTTTATATATATCTTTAAGTGTTTTTGGTCACAAACCTCCCAGGGAACGACGGGACCACGAATCCCCCCACACTTCCGGGTTCGTGAATTTTCGGTCTTAACTAGGTTAAAAAGCTATTCACGGTAATCCGGAAGGCTTCTGCGTTCCGAACTACCCTTCCGCCCCGGCGGTTTAGGTCTATTAAGGGCGTTTTAAGGGCGTTAAAAAGAATAACACCCAGGAGCGCCATAAAACATCTATGTAACATTCGCCCGGAAGATACATACCGACGGAAAATAAAACTAAGTCCTAAGACGACTGGCTAACGTCTAAACAGAGCTTTACATGTTTTTAACCGTCTCTACCAAGCCAGTACTTTCGGTGGTCTTTCTAACATCGGGTCGACAAAAACGTTACTGCTTTCGGCTTCGGACAAAACACTCAAATAAACTTAATTACATGCAGAAATAGTGAGCTCATGGCTGGATCTCAGTATCCTCAGACCACGAGGTCACTCCTAAAATCAGGGCTACTACGATTTATTGAATTATTATTGTTTTTGTTCAGTAGATAAAAATCATCATCTCCATCGAAGATGGATCAACCCTTTCCCCCAACTCCTAGCTTCTCATCCTAGCAAAATGAATTCAGATGTTAATTAAATTCACCTCAGCACTTGACAGGGAAGCTAAAAGTTTATATAAGATAATAAAAGTTCCAATCCCGAGACCCCTCCGTATTCTTGAATCCGGGGAAATAAGGCTCTTATTCTCCTTCCGGAAGGCTGGTTTTCCACCCTTCACCGTTGTTCGCAACGGCCTTGCAACTATTGTAGCGACACAATAGTTGCAACTCGGAGCGGTCTCTGCTACTTCTGCAATGCGTCGTTGTTTTTCAAGCACAATTCTCGTTGTTCACGCTATCGCAACTAATTGTTGTGTTTTTCTTCCGGTTTTCTGCCAAAATGGCCGTTTTTGACATTTCTCAGAAACAGGGATATCGATTCGAATCCGAGTATTCGACCCGAATACCGAGTATTCGGCACTTCGAAGCCGAATCCGAATATTAAAATTTTGAAATCCGAATATCGAATCCGAATATTTTTTTTTTTGCCGAATACCGAATAATCCAGGGTCCACTGCTAAAAAACCCGAATATTCCGAATATTGGTTTACTGTTTTGTTTCACAACATTTACTCACTCCCGCGATTTTTACATTATTACGCCAATATCCAAATATCCGAATAGTTGTTCGAGTAGTAACATTTGGCCGAAGCCGAATCCGAATAGTAAGGGCACTATTCGGCCGAAGTCGAATATCGAATAGTTGGGCCGCGGCGAATAACGAATATCAAAAAATCCGAGTATTCGACATCCCTGCTCAGAAATATGACGTCATACTTCGAATTTTTAAAATTTCAAAATACCAGAATATTTTGACCTTCACCGTTTGACTAATTGTCCCAATAACGTCGTTAATCGCTTAAAACCGTCAATTCGGAAGGTTCGCTGTCAAAAAACTCGAATATGCTGAATCTGCATTTTGGTCCATTCTGGTCGAAAGTCACAGACCTTTGAGCCAATGTTTATGGGGCCTATTTCTCTTAACCTCATATGTGATGTAAGCGGACGACTGTTACAGTCGCATTTAGCTAGTGTTTTGCTCAATTTTCTTGCCTGACTGAGCTTAATTGGACCATTTGTCTATCCTTCTTGATATGTCTAGAGAATGATATAATTTGGTCAGCAATTGAAAGAATACTTCGGCGTACTTTTTGATTAACTAAAAAACGCCGAAAACAATCGTTTTTGGGGTAAAAACGTTCCAAAAAAGGTTTGCAGTTCCAAAAAATGAGTAGAGCTATCAAGTGACGCTCGTTTTATTGAAATTAGGTTTTTTTCTTGGACTTCATAATTCATATTTATCCTCAATGTTATTATAAAGAAAACTGGTTTTGGATGTTTTATTTAGAGCTTGCTTGCCAAAAAAGCTTTTGTAAAATTGTTTTAATTTTTTTTCCTTCATTGTTTTTTATTCATTTTTGGAAAGAAATGTCGATGATGCCTTTTTTGCTTAATTTCTACGCGATCGTGTCGTTCTCGAATCACACCACCCACTAAAACTACACTAATTCGGAAATAAAAAAAGTTTTTTTTTCTGTTTTTGAATATGGACCAAACATTCTGTGCTACTTCCACAGCAACCGGTTATCCTTGTTAATGCAAGTATTTTTCTAAAATTAATTGCTGCAGATAATATGAAGAAAAAAAATAGAATTGTCGCTGTTTATCTTCCCATTTTGCAAAGCAGTGGCGATGGAAATTTTGAACCAACCGTTGAGTTTATGTCTCGGTTCCACGAGTTATCCATAGGCGATGCCACTGAATTGGAAGTGGATGGAAGTGATGAGGATGAGAATGTTGACTTAAGCTGCAAGGATGAAGACAAGGAGAACGAATCATGTGAAAACATAGTGCTAGAAATTGATGATGATTTCGTAAGAAGTCTCGACCCAACTGAATGGAAAGAGCATGACCATTATAAAGTTCTTGGTCTGCAATCTAAGAGGTCAAAGGCCACCGCTGCTGAAATCAAAGCGGCATACAGACAACTAGTGCTCAAACATCATCCGGACAAACGACAGATTCCATTAGACGAGCTGCAATCTGATTATTTTCCAGCAATTGTAAAATCTTTTGAAATAATAAGTAATCCCAAAAAAAGGATGGCTTATGATAGCGTGGACCCCGAGTTTGATGATTCTATTCCCTCTAAAAATAAACCAGTGCCAGCCGATAAGTTTTTATCGGTGTTTGGACCAGTTTTTGAGCGTAACGCCTATTGGAGTAATAAGAAACCTGTGCCTCTTATTGGAGATGATAACACATCATATGATGATTTGATGAACTTTTACAAGTTTTGGTTGAATTTCGATTCTTGGCGCGAGTTTTCCTACTTGGACGAGGAGGAAAAGGAAAAAGGTACTGACAGGGAAGAGCGAAGATATCTGGACAAACTAAACAAAGCTGAGCGACAGCGGCGAAAGAATGCGGAGATTGCGAGGATACGTCAACTAGTGGACTGTGCCATGACCAATGATCCGAGAATAAAGCGGAAAAGAGAAGAGGAAGTGAGAAGAAAGCAAGAGGAAAAAGACAAAAAGCGACAAATCGCACTTGACAAGCAGAACGAAATTGATGCGCAAAATGAAGCTGCTCGGAAAGCTGAAGAGCTGAAAAAGAAAGAAGAACAGGAAAAGGCAGAGCAGGAAAAGAAGGAACGCGAAGCGGCGAAAAAGGAATTGAAGATTGAAAAGAAATGTTTTAAAGATGTTTGCAAATCTTTTGATAATTTTTGCGATGATGAAATTGACATAGATGTCAAAACCTGGTGGCTGGAAGGCATAGATCTCATTTGTAGTAACTTAAATATTGAAGAATTCAAAAAATTCAATGCTAGACTGAAATCCTTAAGTAAAAGCAAATCAAAAGCAATGCAACTAGTGGAAAATGAAATAAAAAGGCAAAAGGAAGTTGTGGAATCAAAAAGAAAAGACGAACTTTTAATTCAACAGCAGAAGCAACAAAAGCAGTCTGATAACGGCCCGAGTGCTTCAAATGACAGTAATTCGTGGAGCACAGAAGAAATACAGTGCCTTGTCAAAGCCTTACAGCTGTTGCCACCAGGAACAGACAAACGATGGGTTGCAATTAGTAATTTCCTCAACAATCACATCCACGGAGGTAAACAAGTTAAGAGTGCAAAACAAGTTGTGAATAAAGCTAAGAACCTTCAGAATATCAGCAATTCAGCGAACAGCGAAATCAAATCTCAAATCACACAGAAATCAGTGGACAATTTCGCCGCCACATCGAATGGAATGACAAACGGTGGCGCAGAAGGTCATCAGACCACAACTGTGGAATCACAAAGCACAGCCATTCCCACGGAAAGGACAGACGACACAGTCACGTGGACATCACAAGAACAGAAGCTACTAGAAGCGGCTCTGAAGAATTACCCCCCAGACACAGACAAGAGGTGGGAGAGGATTTCAGAGGCTGTTCCTGGAAAGTCCAAGAAGGAATGCATGAAGAGATACAAGGAGATAGTTGAGCTTTTGAAGGCCAAAAAGGCGGCACAAACAGCGAAACCTGTTGCTAAATAAATGATATACTTAATCTCAGTAACTTTTTCTTTCCGAATTAAATTGAACATCAGCAGCGTTTTCAATTGTGATGCGATATTTTTACTCGATGTGAATCGATGAACTTAAACTTCGTTCAGGCTCAAAATTGAATTTTCTCGGTTTGATTTTTGATTTCTTTTCGATTTCATTTCATTGCCTTTGTCCAAAAAATGAGTTAGTACGAGTGAATTTTTTTCACATTGTGCTAAAAATGGCGAAAAGGGAAATATTCCGGAAACTCAGGATTTTGAATATATCAGGCAGTAGTAAGGAGACTATGATAATATAAGACAGATTATTGTTGTTATATGCGTTGCTTAGCTCAATTTGTAGGCATGTGAAATGAATGGGTTTTGTTCAGCTCTTACATTCGAGTGTTTCAGACGAACATAATGGGTCGAGTGAAGGAGAGGTCTGATATTGGGCTGAACAGGGGCAAGGGACGGAGGAGACTGGCTGTTCAGAAGTCTACCAAGGCAGCCGAAGTAATCTCAAAGAGAGCTCTGCACGGGGAAGATCCCCTGGGCGGAAAGAAAAGCACATCAAGGTAACCTTTATTTACGCACTCTTGCGTTGTCCTTGTTATTAACAAATCGTTGAATTGTTGACCGACATTTCTTTTGCTCTGACGAGTCAGAGATTGTCAGGAACCCTAACCTAGTGTGGTAACAGTATCAGTGTCATCAGTGCAAAGCGTGATCTATCAGTGCCAGCAAATTAATATCAGTGCCAAAAAGTTGTTCGCCGCACTTGTTCACTAAATCATCAATTCTTTTGAGAAAAACCAACATGGAAAATGTTCTTTCAATGATGCTTGTTTTTACCTTTGTGTTCAAATTAAAAATGGTAAATTTAGGTTCAGTTCATGGTAAGTTCAATTTTTTTCGTTTCCGGTACAGTTGGTCTGGAGGTAACGAAAACGCCTGGGACGGCAAAGGTCCTGGGCTCCAAACTGACAGAACTTGTTTTTTTTTTTCAAACGGGAAATATTCTGTTTCTAAAAATTTTTCGGGTTTTTATTTGTTTGTTTTATGTTTTGTCGGCTTAGATGCCAAATTGTAGGATGGGTTTTTGCTGTACGCAATTGAAATTATAGTTGCTTCTATTAGTGTTTTGAATTATTTCTGCTGTTTTTAATTTTACTAACCTTGACTTCGTATGATTTCTTATTTCTTTTTGTTTCGTTAAAAAAATTTGTTTTGCACAAATGATTTCGGCTCATATTTTATCGTCTTAGGGACCTAATTGTTATTCGTTTCAAGGAAAACATTATTTTTATGCTCACTTCTTGATCGCACAAAAATTTCAGTTATCAATTGATTTCCTCAAGTTCGCGGCTTGCCTCAAGTTGCTATGATCTTTCGAGTAGAGATTAATTCAGGAAAGGGCCTTAGTTAATCCGAGGATCTGGTATGTTCGAGAGGTTTTAGTGTGTTTTGTTTTAAGCTTTGTGATGAGCAAGGGTGTTGCAACAAGGTACTAGACAAAGTTGTTTACGGGTACTACTGTCCCCGTAAACAACTTCATTCTTAGAGTTTGTACACTTAATAGGAACTTGGAAATGGTTGAATTTTAAATACGGATCTTACTTGTAATGCCTATGAAGAGCTAGTTAATGCGGTGTAGGTGGTAGATGCAAGATCTTTCTGTTTGATCGTTTCACTGAAAATATTTCGCCAGTTTTTCCGCTTAATAAGTGTCGGCTCTAATTCTGTCGGCTTGTTTACCTAATTTTTTTGATATTAGTTTCTAGTCGTTTTATATATTGATTCAACTTGTAATTTTTTAATGACCTGCTGTTCTTATTATATTATTTCCGTTGAAGGTAATTGAAGCCATGCATTTATAGGCATTTTTCTTGGTATAATTTTTAATCAGTTTTTTATCGTCGATTGATATTTTTTGGTTCAAGTGCTTTCTAGCCTAGCCTAGATAAATTTTGTAACACGATATTTTTTGTAAGTAATGGACTCGGTTTTAGGAGGCTTTAAGGGCTATCAGATCACAAAATACCTTTAAATTTTTATCCCTATTTTGCTCGTAGTTCTCAGAATTTTTCATGTTAAGTCAATTTTAGTTAGTTTTCGCCATTTGTTTCAAGCACATTTAATGTTTTCATATCGTTCTGTACTGTGTTTTTTTATTTGCATTTCAATTTTTTTCTAAGGCTGTTTGGACTTAGTTCATAGCAACTTGTCGTTCTAATTCCTCATGATGTCTGAGATGACTGAAAATTGGTTCAAATGAATGGCGCATCGATTTGTTGTAAAAAAGTCAAGGCTTCTCCACATTTTCTGCTTTTTAAAAATCCCATATTTGGACATTTCTTTCTCCTTTTTTCCGGCTCAACAGACGTCTTCCCAAGTTTTGTCTGAATAGTTTCCACTCGTTTTTTTAAAAGCTGATTCAAATCTGGGCATTGTGTTTTGCCACAGGTTTTTTCATTCGTTACGATTCGGTGGCATTGTGTATCGCAAGTGGTGCGAAGCTCAGCTTCAACTCTGTGTCTGTCTTAGAACTGAGTGTTTCAGTTTTTTGAGTCGAGAGAAGAGGGTCACTGAGAACATTAGATTGATAATCTCAAAATAAGGTACTGGCCTGTCTACCACTTAGATAGTTGATTAAGTCGCAAAGGTAAGTCGACACCATCCTTTTTTGAGTTTACAGCGATGCTCAGTAGTTACTGCTTGCCCCATTCGAAAATTATAAAGGTATCGCCATTTATTAAACAGGTTAACTTTTATTGGTTTTTGAACGTTTTTCTGCGCCTGTGAGTTATACCATAAAAATGTAGGTTTACATAGCCCGATTTTTATGGAATTTGGCATACATAGTAATTAAATCTTGTTGAATCTATGACTAGCGCAAGATCCAATTTGGGTCTTATTGATTATATACATCTCAAACTTTGTGGCTTGCTGTTGTTTAGGTCGAGAAAAAGGTTTGCCGCGAGGAGAGCTAAAGAAGACCAGGAAGCAGATGAAGAAGAAGAAAAAGCGCACGTGGAAAGTGAAGTAGAAGAACAGGATGAAGATGATCAGCCAAAGAAGATGAAGTTGTTCAATGATGAGGAGGGTGAAGACGAAGTGACAGGAGAGAATGGAATTGTAGGTGAGGATGAGGACAGTGATGATCAACATGTGCCTGGAGACGATGAGTTTGATGAAGATGAAGAAGGGGGCGAAGATGATGATGAGGGAAGTGAAGATGATGGAGGCGATGAGAGTGACAGTGACGATTCAATCGTGACCAAATCGAAAAGCATTCTCAAACACGAAAAGCTTCTCAAGACGGAAGCAGAGAAGGAGCTAAGGCTCAATATCAGACAAGTGGATGACGACAACTCGGACCTGGAAGAGGATCTGAACGGGCATGACACTACCCAGCAGCCTGTAATCGACGCAAAGTCACTGAAAGCAAAAGTAACGGCAAAGCTCGACCTGATCAACAACCCTAAACTGTTCGCCAAGTATCAGTCTAAACTGGTCGGAGTAGGCGAAGAACCATGTACTAAGAATGATTTAGTAAAGAAGGTTAAGAAAGAGTTGCAGTCATTATACTCCTACAACCAGTACCTCATGAAACAACTGATGGATTTGCTGACCTCCAAACACATTTTGCAATTTTTAGAAGCAAGTGAAGTTGAAAGGCCTCTAACGATAAGAGCGAATACGTTGAAAACGAGAAGAAAAGACCTCGCTCAGGCGCTCATCAACAGAGGAGTCAATCTGGACCCCCTCGGGCCCTGGACAAAAGTGGGATTAGTCATATACCAATCACAGGTCCCCATTGGTTAGTCCGATTACTCCCCATTTTAGTTTTTTCGATTAATTTTTTCGACTGAAGTTTTTTTTCGAGTATTGCATCGTAAGTGGTGCGAAGCTCAGCTCCGCCTGTGTTGAAAATTCCATTTGCCTGAAAGTATGCATATGTCAATGTCTGATTGCAGGTGCAACTCCAGAATATCTCTCTGGACATTATGTGATCCAGGGTGCCTCCAGTATGTTGCCCGTCATAGCACTGGCTCCCAAGTCAGACGAGAAAGTTCTGGACATGTGTGCTGCTCCTGGTATGAAGACCTCCTATATTGCTCAGTTAATGAAAAACACTGGGACTCTTGTTGCGAATGATGCCAATCCAGACAGATGCAAAGCGATAGTTGGTAATCTACACAGATCGGGAGTAACTAACACTGTAAGTCATCTTTGAATCGCAGGGTCTTCTCTAACCAGGATGATAAAGCATCAGATCAAGTTTTAATTATAACGAAATCGTAACAGTATTGATTTTTTTTAAATAATTTTTTATTGTGGCAGGTTATCTGCAGTCTGGATGGACGCAAGATGGCCCACTTTTACCCTGGCCACTTCGACCGAGTGTTGGTAGATGCTCCATGCAGTGGAACAGGCATCATCTCCAAAGACTCTTCCGTCAAGACATCCAAAGACAGATCCCAAGTGCAGAGGTGCTTCACTGCTCAGCGGTCACTCCTCTTGGCAGCTATAGACAGCTGCTCAGCGCACAGTAAAACAGGTACAACTTTATTTCTGGGGTTGCCTGTGTATTACTGAACGAAGTGAGTTTTCACCTAATTAAGCAGTGTTGTGTTTCTCAGGCTCATTTTTTAATGAGTTTCCAGCTTGTCTTCCAAAATCATATACCAAATCGAAATAAATTGCGCTCTCCAAGGCCGAAGCTGTACTTTCTCAATTACAAGACTGGATGGTAGTTCCCATTTATGTTGAATAAAACTTTTGGAAATATATGGAGTATGTAGCAGCGTTTGCTCGTTCTCGAGTATTTGTATATATTTTTTGTTTCGCAAGAATTGCGAATCTCCGATTATCCTGTGTATAATCTGCTCAAATAGAATTGAAAGTGGCAGTTCAATCTCCATTCTTGATCAAGTAATTTCAGAGTTGTTTCATGGCATAATTTAATACGTGGTTAAAGTGTTGTAGTCGGTCGGACTCTTTTGAGTTATGTCTGGACATGCAACACAACACGTCTTGTAGTTTAATTGGGTCCTTGCTATTAAAATTATTGTAGTTTCAGCCTAAACTAAATGTTGTTTTCCCTTCTTAGGCGGATACATAGTTTACTCCACCTGTTCAATTTTCGTGGAGGAAAATGAAGCGGTGGTGGACTTCGCTCTCAAACACAGACACGTGTCAGTAGTGCCCATTAGTGGTCTAGACATCGGTGAGGAGGGGTTCGCCAAATACAGAGGGTACAGACTGCACCCCTCTTTGAAACACGCGAGGAGATTCTACCCCCACTTGCACAACATGGACGGCTTCTTCGTTTGCAAACTGCAGAAGAAAAAAGACGGCATAAAAACGCTGTTTGCTGAAGAACTTGATATCACAAATGAGAATGACGTAAAAACTGAAACGAACTCTTAAATTAAGTCCATGCATTTGTCCACTTTTTTCTCAAAGAAATTATTTGAAGCCACTGTTTTCAATACGTAGTCTAATTCGTTGCCTTGAATATTTTTTGGTTGTATTCTGTGATTTTTAGAACCAGAAGTTTCTAGAAAAAGTTCGGGTTTGACAGAAATTCTGAACCATGTTTTGAAGATCAAAATTCTCTTTAGTTCAACGAGATTCTAACGTGCAAACGATATTGTATTGGGACCAAAACACGACTTTGATGGACAGTCAGAAGATCCCGGACTTTTTCGGAGGGGAGGGGGATTTCAGAAATTTTTACTCGGTAAGGTTATTGTAACCAGTTCAATAATTCTTATCGTTAGAAACTTAAACAAGATATGCTTCAAGTTGCGGCTCCTGCTAGCAAAACTGGCATATTTGAACTTATGACAAGTAATACAGTAGTTTGCTGAATAGCGTATGGTATCTTGTTTGGAAGAAAGTAAGAAGAAATTTTTTAAACTGAGAAAATAAATTCTCTCCAGCGTATCGTGTCTGCTTAAGTATAATCTGAGTCAAAGCAAAAATGTTTTCAAAAGGTTCAGCTTCAGTCAAATTTTGAGTTCAATGAGTGCAAAAGCTAATTAACCAGCATACTGTCAGGGTAACGGTTGTTTTTTAGACACTGCAGTGCTTTTGCTTTACGGTGTGGTACCTTAACTTATAAGAAACAAAATGAATTGGAACTGTGGTTTAGTTCTCCCAATTTTTAGGGTCAACTGAGCGACTTTATGTAGAATATAATGGATTGACAAAATGCATTTCGAACAAGCGCGCACAAAACATGAATTAGGAAGTTTTTTGGTATAGAATAGCTTATTTTAGACTGTTATGTACCTGAAACAATATTGGTATTTACTTCTTGATTGATTTATTCCTTTAATTAGATCTTTTTATTTTGCCCTGAAGGTTATTTTCTCAAAACTTGTATTTTATCCCCCTAAATCCGTTTGGAGGAAAGTAGTACGTGTGATCTTATAACAATGTTTTATTATGCAATGTTTCAATTTGTTAACTTTTCTAATAAAAAAAACTTTTTTTTTTCATCATGTAAACAGGTTGAACTGATAAGCATGTATATTGCTAAAACCAAAAAAAAAGAAAAATTAATTCAAGATAAACAAGAAGAACTTGTTGGCAATAAAATTTTATATTTTTTTGCAATATGTGTGGAAAGGAGCTGTATTTAAAACGTTCAATGCAGAATTTTTGCAATTGATGCTTTAGCTCCACGTAATTAATAACTACGGTTTGTGTTTTTTTTGCTATGTTTTCTATAGGTTAGAACTTTGCATTTAAATTGTAGCTGTTCGAGAGACAGTTGTTTAATAATTTTTTTTATCAAAATTTTTTATGACAAATTTTTCTGCTAAAGTAGGCAAGATTATACGCGTCAGGTCGTTTTCAGGGCGATTATACGCGAGCTAAATGACTGCTGAGCATTCGAGAAAAAATTTTGGTTTTAACCTCATCCAGTGAAACATCGTGTCTAAGATATCGTTTTGAAAAACTTTGTCATGGTTGGAAGTGCAGTAAAAAAATTATCAAAAGAAGGTTTCTACAAAAATTTTGCTCTAGAAATTTCTCGTTTACTTGTTTTTATTAACCAGAAATCAAGATTAAAAAAGCAGCAGAAATGTCAAAACTGAATTTGAAAAATACCGCTTACCTAAAATGATATCTGTCTTTAAAGGTAAACCAAATCTGCCGTTCTGACAAACCTCCGGACAACATATTTTCAAAACAATGAACTCTTTCTCTTTGATTTTAGAAAACATTTATCCGTCTATTGTCGTAGAAAAGTTGAGGTGCAACTTTAGTTTTTCGTTCTTTGATCTCAAAAATAATTGTAGAAAAGAAATTCAAACTTAAACCTTATTGTCTAAGTTAATTTGAAAATACGATCAAATTATTTTGTTCTTCTCAAATTACCTAAGTATGTGACGAAGTAATAATTGAAACTACTGTGTAGCAGTGATGCAAGTTGACCTCTTAATATGATACCTCACACTGATGATTAGCATTAGCACCTGTCAAACGTGGTATAGTTTTTTTGCAGGATGTTGCTGATTTGTTGGTTCAGTTTTAACTTAACGATGGGTTTGGTTAATCAACTAATCTTTTAGCTCTGTTTTCACTCTTATTTTACAAGAAGTCTAGTTTGGTTAGTAATCATAATTACACCTCCGTTTAACCAACGTTTCTAAGTTGTTTAACTGAACTTTTACAGGAAATTGTTACATGGCGCAGTCGATTGAATAGAACCCACGAATACTAGATTTTTTGTGGAACCACTCGACAAACAATATACCCCGTGATTCAGAAAAAAGGGCAGAAAAACTCCGTCTTACAGTTATAGCGAACTACTCTGTAGTAATTGATGACGTCATTAACCCACCCGTACGCAAAAAAATACAATCTCTAATCCAACAACAACCACCAGAAAATGAAGGTGCTACAGAGGCAGAAAAGATTACCTAGATATAAAGCACTACTATACAGCTATACTGAAGATGTAAAGAGATGTCAGGCAGAAGATATTGCTAAAATCACTGGAGTGCAAATCAGAGATAGTGATGGAAAAACTGAAATCTCAACTCTATTTAGCACTAGTTGAACGGAGAAAAAAGGCTTTGCTCACAAAAGTCTAGGAAAAAATCCTCATCATTGTTTTTTGCTGAACTCGTACTTGCTGGTACTTGCTAAAAGCAATCTTCGCAACGGAGACAATTCTTAAGTATGAACTTTTAGTTTTTTAGCAGACGTCAGAAGAATAACAAAACTTCGGAAAAACTCCGCAAAACTCTTACTGAGTTAGCAAAAAACTGTAGCCAGGGAGAACTTGAGGCAAAACTGATGAGAGACATATTTATCAGTAACATGAGAAATGTAGATATACAGAAAACGGCCTGTATAGAATACTTTGCACCTGAAAATATTTAAGCAATTTAATTGATATATGAAAAAGGGAGAAAGGAACCAGAGTTCTCCACCAGCACGTAAAAAGTTCAATTGCATACTACCCAAATAGAAAAATTAATGTAAAAAACTAACAAACCTTAAAAATTTCAGTGAACCAAAACAGCAATCCATTCGTCATGAAGTGTCTTCTCTTAGTATGTCTTCCTAGATAAAAATTGTGTAACAATTGCAGACCGAGGACACTTTTAGAAATTTTGTAGGAGTAGAGGAAGACCAAGTCAAAACAAACATCGTTGAACTAACAATTAAACCAGAATAGTCAGACTAATTATCACCAACAAAAATTTTCTCGGAATCTGAGTTTGTTGTTAAACTAGGCGCCTTTAGAGTATTAGCAATATGCGACAAAACTTTAGTTAAGATTGCACGAACCAAAATCGAAGATTGCATAGGAACAGTGTTTTTAAGCAAAAGCGTTTAAAACAAAAAAATCTGGCGCTATTATTGACCGAGAACAATCCCTATCAAAACTAGATCCAAACTGACCCAACAATTTTAATGAGCTTGATAAAAATTGCAATAATTCGTGAATTGAAGATCAAAGATTGACTTTTCAAAATCGATCTAGTAGACTAAGTTATTATAAGGGCCTAACAAGGATTTGAATACTGTAATTGTGATTAGATAGTTGTTCTCAAGATACGCTAAAACGGGTGGGAAATAGCTATAGAAAAATTAATATTGTCTGGTGCAGAAAGAGGCCTCCTATGAAACGATAGTTTACCTAATCTATTTATACCTTCGGCTCCCACAAAATTTCAATTTAACAATACTGCTGAACAGTATCCGATACAATTCGAATCAGATGGTCTAACCAACCCAACTATCGGGAGTCCACAACAATGTGAGTTTAGAAAAACTATCCTTAGAAAATTTCCTTTCATCACTACAAGAATAGTTAGATACAAAGTTTTTAAAATTTTTGAGTTAATACACACTTTATTGAGCCGTTAAGATCAATACAATCAAGTGAATGTAAAATCTAATAAATTTGCTACCAATTGTTTAATTATGCGGCGCTCGATTATTAAAAATTGCACACATTGAATAGCTATTATATTGGTTCAAGAGTTCATGTGGTATTGTTGTAACAGCACAGCTGAATGGGTCCGTAAAATTAGCACTCTGTTCAAAAATGTTAAGTAAAAAACCTATAAATCGATACCGAATGCTTAATTTTTTAAACTGATAGACAACATAGCCCTAGTAACAGTTGGCAGAAACGCGAAACTTAATCTCGTTTTCATCAATAGATAATAAATTTTCTTATAGCCAGATTTCATTATCCGCCAACGCCAATGAGGACTGCAACTTTAATATTATAGAAGGAGACGTCACAAGACCGTTTTGTCGAAGAACAGAAGTTTGTGGGTTGGTGACATGTCTAATGATTTTCAGCGAACATGATGGGTTTATCCAAGAAAAAAATCCATTTACTGGCTTCAATTTAGACGATATTTTAATAGCATTAGTAGGCACAGCCTCAAAACTTTCGAAAGCAGTTTTAGAAGTGTTAAATGGACTCGCCAGAGAAAGCTTGTCGAAAAAAAATAGTCAAATTTTTCCACGAAAATGAGTGGTGTGAGTTTAAGATACAGAACCTCGGGATGAACAAATTATCACCAAGAGCCTTCCGAAAAACAATTAAAGTGGCAACAAGTACTCGATTACTATAGTGGAAGGGAAGAGGTTTTTGGGTGGTTTCATTGGAGCCGGAAATAAGAAGAACATCTACCTGAAAAAGAAAGAACTTGAATAGGTAGACAAAATTGAGAAACTTTCTTTTGTGGCAAAAACAGAACCCCAATGTGCTTTATCAGGACTGACTAAGTCCCTACAAGCGGAATGGAATTTTTTCCATCGTGTTTGGGTGATGCTAGTCAGCTTTTTCAACCGCTAGAGGACCTTCTGATGGAGAAATTCTTACCTACGATACTTGGAACTTCGTCGATTTCATCAATGGAGAGACGTTTCTTTTGTTTGCCAGCAAGAAAGGGTGGTCTTGGAGTGTCTAACCCAACCAGTTTCGCTGATGAGTCTTACAACACGTCACGGGAAGCAGTTACGGTTCTTTATGATGCTATTGTTGATCAGCACAGTTTTTCCCATGAAGACCACAGAAAGCAAATGTCTCGATCGCGGAAAAAACATCATCAAATAATGGAAGAAAAACATGAAGAGTTGTTGGGGGAGTTATTGAATGAGCTACCAGCAGACCAAGTTCGCACAGTAAAAAGAATCAATGAAGGAAGCTTGTCTGCCTGGCTGACAGCGTTACCGATTGCTGCAGAAAGCTTTGATCTTTCGGAAGTGGAGTTTCGGGATGCATTGAGTGTTCGGTATAACAAAAACTTGAACGCTTCGCCAACTTTTTGTGATGATTGTCAGTCACCATTCACCCTACGGCATGCGTTAGCGTGCAAAAAAGGTGGTCTCTTAACTCTACGGCACAATGAGAATAGGGATGCTGTAGGCGACTTAGCTTCTTTAGTGTGGAAGGATGTACAGAGAGAGCCTGTTATTAGAGAACACAACCCGCAAGATGAGACACCCGCATTAAATGTAGATTTGTTTTGTCGTGGAGTTTATGTTAGACAGGGAGGAGCGTCTTTTGATATTTGTGTCTCTGACATCGAGGCCATCTCCTATCAGAACAGAAGCCCCATGAGTCTTTTGCACTCAGCAGAGGTTGAGAAAAAGATAAAATATTCAGACGCGTGTCAGGAAAGACATTTGTCTTTCACTCCTCTTGTCGTGTCTGTTGATGGGATGCTCGCTCCAGAATTTGCAATTTTCCTTCGGAGAATAGGAGAAGCATTATCTATCAAGTGGGAGAAACCCTATAGTAAAACTATGAACTGGGTGAAGTGCCGGCTGTCTTTTGTCGTGCTCCGTGCTTCCAGTGTGTGCTTCCGAGGCACAAGGACCAAGTGGAGGAGTCTTAGCTCAGACCATGATTTCTTACCCTAGAGAAATATTTATGGATGTCCTAAAATGAAGAGAAATTGGCTAGCTATGTGCAAACTCTGCTAGTAATGTGAAACGTGGACCTAAACGAAACAAAAATGTTGAAAAAATGAACCAAATAGATAATTGACTGAAAAAAATTAAAGTGGCAAAACTGTGATGATTTTCCACTTTGATGTCAGTAAAGAAACCAAAGTTAAATGCGAAGCATCCCATATGAACTGGGAGCCTCAAAGGAACAAAACTATAAGGTTGTGTGAAAAACATTAGCATTCGCATCTAGCTTTTCTAAATGTAGCAGAGGTGAAATACAGCACTAACGAATTGAAACTGATTGTTCTGGTATTGTAATTATATTATTTTGAATTTTTTTTATTCAGGTCGCACTACGAGACGACAGTCACGCAAAAACTACCCAACAAGACCGACAAGCTGTGCTGATAAACGATTACTGGCTCTTTTCAAGTTTCCCCCACCTTTCAAAAATTTTGAAAAGCTTATTTAGCGTTGCCATAATTCAATGAAATTTGGCGTGGTGAACAAATCGACAATTCTGAACAGATTTGTTCTTCATACTTAACAGCGTAACATCACGCATTTAGACGTAATAGCACGTAAAACAAACATAAAACTCGGTATTTTGAAAGGGGGGAAACTGGAAAAGAGCCCGATTACTTTTTTTGGTGAAACATATGCCAAGAAAAGATATGAGTTATTGTGATTACCTTTAAAGCCACCCCACAAATAAACCAACACCAGTCTCAAACGATAATGAAATTATTTTGATAGCCTTATTAGCTGAAAAAAAATTCAGCATTCTATAGTGCTTTGAGAAAAATTGAAGCCAAGAAATATGAAAGAATTCACTTCAAACAACGAGCTCGTAGTTTGATCGAAAGTTAGGTTCGAACGAAAAATGTAACTTAATTGGTCAAAATCGTGAAAAGAAAACCACCGAATAAATCGAACTTCAACAGTTAATTGTATTTGCTGCTGGACAGTCTTGGGCTATACACGAATGCACAAAGTTGAACGCTGTGAGAACTCTCACTGTCATACAAAACTGTGCTTAACAAACTGTAGAACAGTTGATTTTCCAGTAACTTGAAAAGTGTCACGAAAAACAGACTTATTTTTTTCGATTTCAGATTTTACTGATGAAGAAGATAAAAACCCCATAAGCAATCCCACTGGGATTATTCCCAATACTCTCTCAACGCCGGAAAAAATTATAACTCAACAAAATTGAAAACGTTTCCCTTCATTTGACAGGAACTAAAAGATACCCCGATTCATGGCCTTATTAAACGATAGCAATCTAGTTCTCTTACCATCATTAAAACAGTGTCATTTTTGTGATTTAGAATCGCAAAAATGACACTGCCCGATTAAGGAATTATTTATCAGGTTTATACTGATGGTGTACTCGTGAATGTCTGATTTTTTATCTCTAATTGTTTTGTTGGAATTGATCTTGCAAAACACTGGCGCAAGTTTCGATCTAAAACTTGCCTCATTTTTAACCCAAACTAATTGATTGAAGTATCAATTTGAGATCCTTTTTCACCAAGTTAAAACACATCAAGTTTTTTTTAAACTAGTTTTACAAATATAAGACCTACAATTAGTTTAGACAAATGTTTGAAAAAGATTTTTTAAATTAAGCTTTTTTTCGAAAAAAAAATTAGATACTTTGGTTGTCATTGTTTTTAAAAAAAGAAGATTTTAAGAGTTTTGACCTTCTTGCTGTTAAATTGAGTGAAGAGAAAACCCATTTGGTTATGTTGCACAACTTTTATCTAAGTGCTGAGTCTCAAATAATTAAAGTTCTAAAAAAAAACAATTTTATATAAAAACATTGTTTTTTTAATTCGCAATAAAAGTACTTGGTGGTAATTCAAAAAACATCTTGTTATTCATTTTTGATACAGTAGAGAAAATTGATTTTTTTTTTCGGGATACTTAAACAATACTTAGTTTTTGGGAAGAGATATACTACTTGATTTAGATATAGAAAGAGATAACTTCTTCAATTTCGAAGAAAAGGAAAAGTGTAAAATTTATAATTGGAATTATTTTTGGGTAGTTTAAATCAGCACGGTACTTTTGCAATCAAAACAACGTTCAAATTTTTTACGATACATAGTTTTCGGGCCGAGTTATCCTAAATGAATTTTAAAAGTTTTATTGTATTTAGCTTCAATTATTCAACACACAACTACCATCAACATACAGAAATTCAAACTTTAGGGCGGTTTCAAAAATTCTGACCGAAGCTTTTTTACCTCCTCCAAAATCAGCACGATATCTAAATTTTTCGTGTTCAATTTTTGCGATTTTATTTGCATAGAGCTGTTAAAATTTCGGTTAGCTAATAAAAATAAATAATTGTGGTTTCTGCAATTCGCGGAGGATCTATGAAAGGCTATCCAGCCTGTCTGAGCATAGTCAGTTTCTCTTATTTCCCCACATTCCAGACTGAGTAATTGGTGTCAGGCTGTGGTAGACGTGAAGCTAGAGGTCAAGTGAGAGCTCGTCCTCACACACTATCATTTCCATGGCAGGTGATCGAGTACACGATCTGACGATCTCAAATTAAACGCCTTACCACTATGCTAAGAGCTAAAGTACCTACAGGAAACGTTGTGTAGAGACATGGTCTCATAGTTCATGTAGAGAAAGTAGTTAGATTGCTTGGAGTTTGCTCTTTTTCCTCGTGGAATAATAAATTATTTCCAAGCTTACAACTAGGTTTTTTTGGCTTGTGACTTCAAAGAGAACTAAGAAAACTCTGGGCATTTTTCTTTATAGCCCCCCCCCCCCCTCCCACGTTCAGATCAGCTGATCTATGATTTCCTCGGCTACTACCCCCAGAAAAAGTTAGAAAATATCTAGATTAGTTTTTATCTTTTACAAGTTTTCTCTCGGATTGAATCATTTTGCGTAAAAAAGTAACATTCAACAAAATATTATACTGATATGACTAATCAAGGACGTACTGAGCCGGAGATTTTTTAGTAAACTTTCCAATGTGCATAAGAAAAACCACGAAAATTTTTTATGGCTTAAACTATTTATGGCGTAAAAAGAATTAATAAAAAAGTTCATTTTATTCTCAAAACTTAGATAACTTCCAAGTGCTTGAGTAAAACAAACAGCTTCTAAAGTGCATTTTTTTGTAATTACTGGCGTAAACTGTTGATGGTAACAGTGGAAGAAAATTTTGCGAAAAATTAATATAAATTTTGGTTTCGTATTATTGCTACAAATTTTTGTTTCGTATTATTGCTACAAATTTTGGTTAACAGTTTTAGTTGGTAGTTCGTTTGATCTTTTTTGGACGTTTTTACAGGATTGCTACTTAATAAATTATTCACTGAAAACTGCTCTGTATAGATGATAATACGTGAGTGGTAAGTTTAAAAATATGACGAGAAAGACAAGTCTGTTGTCTGTGTCTGTGTTAAAACAAGAATTTTATCTGTGCTGCCAGTAGTCTTCAGTTGATAAAAAGACATCTTCATCCTTGCTCACACTCAAGTTTTGATGATACCGCAATAACATATTGATGGATGCATACTTGATTAGTGTCAAGAAGTACTTGCCGTACTGATCTCGATATATCTCGAAACTCTTCACCTCCGAATGACACTTCACATCGAGATAGAAATGTTGAGGCGCTGCAGATGTTTGACGAACAAGAAAGGATCCCAGAGGCTTACTCTTAAGCAACTCCTGGGAGTGTTCTCTTGAAATGTGCCCCTTGAACCATCCGCAGTAGTGAGGCACAACGTAGTCTTTGGGTACCCAGCCTTCTTTTGTCCCCTGCTGTTGTATTTTGTACCTGTTGGGGTCGGCATCAAACGAGAGAATATTCACTGTTTCTCCGTCCGAAAGAGAAAGCTCTGACTCATTCTGTGCTGAGTAGTCGCGAACAACTGTTGCTTCCATTGGTCTCAAAATACAAAAAGCAATCAAAGTTTGCTTCACAGACGCTGATTTTATTTCAATAATTTGAAGTCAACAATACACTGCGACTATGAAATGCAAAATTAAAAGAATTCTTTTCATTCGACCTTAATCCTCGCTTATCATCATTTGCATGATTTGATAACTACATTTCAGTGAGGTAAAGCTTGTGTTTTGACCTTGAAATTCGATTTCGTGATCTGGTTGTGAACTATTCGTTAGAGATATTGGCTGTACTTACCTAGAGAAGTACAATATTGGTATGCATTATCTGCTCATGACAAAGCAGAATTAAAATTCAATTTGGTAGAGTTCATTTCTATCTCATTTGGGTACTGAGAGATTATTGGTGAACCATTGAACACTTGTTTTTAGGGGAAAAATGAAAATATTTTCAAAAAAACGGACGAAAAACAAACACCAGTGTGAAATAAATTTTTACTTTTTACCGAGCGGCCACTAAGCCAACAACAAGTGAGCAGACGCCAATTGAGCCCGAAACAAAAAAATGCCATAGAAATTCTCATAAAACTTTAGAGTCTTGCAACACAAATTACCTGAACTTTTCGAAACACAACGTTTGATCATCTTTTAAAGAATATGTTTTGATCATGTTTTGCAGTTTAAGCGACACTAAATAAATTGGCTCAACTGATAAAACATAAGCCGGAACCATTAGGCCGCACAAAGTTTTAAAGCGAAAAAAAGGAAAACCAAGGAAAATATACAACGTCCAGACTAATAATTTTACAATTAACAGGAGTAAATCAAAAACACTGCATCATCGATGAAATTTGCTGACAGCGCAAAAACACCCCAATGTGGCAACTAAGTTGACAAAACACAAGCAGACAACAAAAATGTCACAACAGAAAGTCCGACAGGTACTCGATCCCCAGACTTTAGGGTAAAAAGGCAACCGTTTCACTTCTAGGTCGAGTGAGAAGGAGCCTTGAATTTGTTTAGATTCACTAATAAAGCAACTTCACTTTCTTACATACTTTGTATGAAAAATTGTTCTCAGGAAAAAGCCTACTTCGCGATTACAAGTCCAAGTTCGCGATTACAAGACAAGAACAGACAAGATCTCGAAGTGTAATAAAATAGACATTTACTTTTGAAATACAGAAAAGTTCAAAACAAGTTGAGCCAAAAAAACAACATTTTAGTCCAATTAGCGTAACGATAAGAAATATTGAAATGAAAGTCTTGTGTAATTCTTGCTAATTTGCCTTCTCAAAAAACATCGATACGAAAACTATAACTATGTTCAGAAAGATTTCAGTAAATGATTTAACGGAACTCTTTTTGAACTTAGTTACAGTTTTCAAATTAGTGTTTTTTGAGAATGAAAGTCTTAAATTGACTACATAAAATCTTTTATACGGTTTTTTCCGGACTGTATAAAAAATGTTTTGAAGATAATTTACCAGGAACATAATTTACGAGGAAAAAATAGAATCTCGGAAAATTTGCATTTCATAAACACCAAGGAATGCTCAATTTTTAAGCAGACTCTGCTTTCAAAACAATATATTTGCCACGTTTCTCGGATCACCTCATCTCGTTTTGGCAAGGTTGTGTTCTATTGTTTTTGAATGAGTCAACTAAAACAAGAAGACCAAGACTGTTTCCATGAGGCAATAGTTTTCACTTCTTATTCCTAAAATAACTGCGTCACTTAATCTTCACGTTTTCAGTCACCTTTGTTTTTCTCTTACAGGAGACGTGCTTGTCTCCGACTTGTCTGTGGTTATGATTGTTTTTAAGATTTTTAAAATCAGAAGAAGAAAAATTTCAGAATTTGAGCACAATATATTACAAAAATTGATGACAAAAAGCAGCATTGTTTTCCTGTACATCCTTCGATATGTCCGTCATGCAAGGTGAAATAATACTTTCCATCTCCAAACGATTGCCGCCAATTAATTGAGAAGAAGAGCTCGTGGAATTGTGTGATTCTTTGGATATGTTGTTCATACACTCCGTCTTCACATTTCGCGAAGGTTCCTTTGAACTTCTAACTGCTGGAGACTCTTGGGGGCTTCTAATTGCCGAGACTTCTCTCTTGTTCTGAGATGGACTAGTGTTCGTATCCGGAAGAGTTGGGAAGCTTTGGTCCTCCGAGTGGTGTCCCATTTTGCGTCTCCGAGTCGCAGGCGATGGAGATGGCGGCCGATAGTCATGCTTAGGACTCTTTTTAGTTTTCCTGAAACAAATTAAAGTATCATATTTAAGTTCCTGGATCAAGTTAACATCCGCCCTTTTACAACGGCTCATAAGGTGATGTGAATTTGGTCTCAACTTAGAATTTTGAGACAATCGCAATCAAATAATTCTCACGCAGCTCTTAAGAAATTTAATCCGAACTTAAATTTAAATGACGTGAAATGAAGTTTTTCTTGGTCAATTTGAAAGGTTAGGTGTTAACTTGGTGTCCACGCTTTTAAATTATGAAGATTACCCAAAGTAAAGAAACGCATAAGAGCTGACACTGAGTTAATGAACACAAATGGATTCCAGTGTAAGCCCCTTGGGCATTGTATAAAACTCAACAGCGCACTTTTTACTTGGAATATTTTTTGGGAGCCAGCTATCACACTCTCAGGGGCGGATTAAAGGGGATACTAAAAGATTTCTAAAGGCGCTTTTGGCGCCAATGTTTACTAAATTTGAGGGGGAAGCGCGCGCCGAAAAAAAACGCAGTCGAAAAAAAAAAATCAAAGTTTTCCAAAAAGTGCCTAAAAACGCCTTTTATGAACTGTTTTTTCAAAATTTTGCTTGTAGCGACGAACATTTTGCTGAAACAGTGTCTTTTTAGTGCTTTGGGAAGAGCTCAAAAAATCAATTTGGTCGACCTAAAAAAAAGGTCGACAACAATTTTATGAGAATCCCCCCCCCCCAGATCCAAAATAGAAAATCGTAGATCCACCCCTGATCACAGTTGTACCTGAAACAGCAGCAGAATCGGAACACTCTTCCAATTGAGCCTCCTCTTTGAGATGATGACACTTTATTTCGGTCTTGTTTTATTGGCTCCAATGATGGCGGTTGATTGTTGATCTCTTGAAAATGATTTTGTTTCTCGTCCTCGATTACAATAACTGGTAAAACGAAAGAAGAGTCTTCTGTCCTGACTAATTCCTTAAACAGTTTCAAGATTGAAATTTCATGGGTTCATCAAAAATTCCAAACTTCTCTTGATTTAGCTTTAAACCCTCCGATTTTTTGGTAAATTTGTTCAAGTATTTTTGAGAACAAATCAGGCTATCAGAATATATATTCCATTTTTCAACTATATCGCCGTATTTTAGGGGAAAATACCACGGCTATTCATTTACCATAGGTATCTCCAGCTTAACACATTCTTCCGAGGCCTCAGAACAAACGATAAACTCACCTCGCCAGTATTGATTTGTGCTTCATGATTCTGGTCCAGTCTGTGACCGTTTTCGGTAGCGACCGGCAGGGAGACACACTTCACTCTTCGCACTCTCCCTCCTCCCCCTCCATCTGCCCCTTCCCCTGTCCCCCCTCCAGCGGTGTGTCTGGGTGTCTCCCCTGCCATGGAGTAGGCGTTGTCCTTGTCACTCGCGTTCTCGTGCTCCTCCAACCCTCGCCCCCAACTGCCCATACGTTCCTCCTAAAATCAAATTGCACGTCATTACAGAAAAAAAACATTTTAGGTGGTTTCGAAAATGCTTTACATGTGAAATCACTTGCAGCAGTCGTGCATAAAAAATCCAAAAAAAAAAACAGTTTGAAGTGGCAAGTATATCCATCAGAGCAGCGCAGAGATATGAGAAAATGTTATTTGTCAACCATAAAAAACGTCGTGAAAGTCACCAATTGCACCAATTGACAATATATGTTGCACAAGCTTTGGCTTCTTTTTATAGATCATTATGTACCTCGGCTCTCTCGGGCTGGTCTCGTGTCATGGAGTAGCGCCGAGCCATCCTAGTCGACCCGGCTGTCGTCCGTCTTCGGCTGCTGTGTCGCATCTCGCTTCTGTTCGGGTTAGATATAAAAGTGTTCGTTCGTGTGGAGAAATTCCGCGAGTGGTCTGGGAAACGGCTGCTCTTAGTCCGTCTGGCATATTTCGCCCTTCCTGGATCAAAAAACAAAATACGCAAAGGAAACATTGGGATAGGGGGAGGAATTATGTCATAATTTTTCCGAACCTGAATTGGCTCCCAAAGAAGCCTTACAAGATCTCTATCGAGTCGTATATTAAGGGTCTGATTTTCAAATAACTCAGACCAATTGAAACACATTTTAGTTTTGTACATTTCCAAAATGATCCTATGTTGGCGAATGATTTAAAAATTAGCATTATTTTTAAGTCACCGAATAAAACTGGCAAAAAGCAAAACTGGCAAGTAACTGGCTAATATAGTTTCTGTTAGGGATTTAAGCACCGGCGGATTTACGGGAGGACGGACGCCCTTCCTCAGGAGCGCGCCGAAAAAAAGCGATTTTTTGGTCGAAATTTTCCAAAAAGTGCCTAAAAACGCCTGTTGTTGGCCTTTTTTCAAAAGTTTAAATGCGGCGCAGAAAATTTGCTCAAAGTGGGGTCTTTATCGTGATTTAAGAGACCTCAGAAGGAAACAATTTGGTCGACCTAAAAACCATGGTCGACAAAATTGTCAAATTTTTTTTGAAAATCCGCCCGCCCCCTCGATAAATCCTAGGATTTAAGGGTTTGTTTGAACGCCTGCTTGTTGGGAAAAAGAGGCCAAGAAACGCAACTTGAAGAGAAATTCTTTTCAAAAATTTTCCGAAATTGCATTTTGGGTAGTTTTTGCAAAAATTAGCCAGCGGTGCTGAAAATGTTCAAAAAAAAGTCTTTTATTGCCTAAGTGAGCGGTGGACCTTTCATATATTTTTCCGTTAAGATAACATTATCAGCTTTTCGAAGGCCTTGACCAAAGTATTTTTTGTAATATCGAGAGCTGTCGGTCTAAAAAAGGATGCAGAAAAGTTGTACCAAAGGGATCCTTCTAATTCCTCTCTCAATTGAAGCCAAAAGTTAGGCATGTTTTTTCTTCTCGCCCTCCTTTAGAAGTTTTTTTTGCTGCAAGACACAAAGTCGGATTTTAGAAGGGATGCCAGCATTGCGTAGTTAATGGCTAAGTAAAAGAGACCACAAGGTTCCAATCATTCAAACAAAAACATCTGACGTATGTTCTACATCTGAAAGAATTTTGGACCGCCGAAAATTTTTTTTGCGTTTGATGTCTGAAAAACAGACACATACTGAATTAAGAAGAATTTTTTTTTAACTCGACACGTTGAGTCAGTGTTGGTATCTTTTCTTCATGCAACATGTTTTTATACATGAACTATTTATAATATAAAATATTCAAAGTAGAACATATTTTTCGGCAATTTTCAATGAGTGAGAATAGACAACAGTTATATGCTGAAATAACCAGTGAAATGTTCAAAGCGACAAGTGACCGGCAGTGAGAAAAAATTTGGTGATTGAAGTTTTTTTACAACTTCAGAAATATTGGCTCCTTTCACATTAAAAAGAACTTTTAGTGTTATAGTATTTTGCTTTTCCCTGATGATCTTTTCATAAGACAATGCGTTTTGGCAATGCGTTTTGACAAGTGAGCTGTAATGCAAATATTCATGATATTGTTATTTGACACAAGGGCCCATTTAGAATTAAGGAAAAAGGTGGGGTAATTTTTTTTGTCAATCTTGCGCAAATCCACCACGAATGTGATTTACTCTGGTGTCCTCCTTTTTCAACATTTTTCCCGCCACTCCTCATACCACACAATTTCACCCCACAGAGTGGCGAGGAAAAAAGACGTGGGTTAAAAAGAGAATGAACCACTCACTCTGAAGCCCGTTCTCAACTAGCCCCCCAACTTCCTCCTCCAGTCTCCTCCTCTCGTGATCGTTGATGTCCCCCACCCCCATTAGTCCCCCCACTCTCCCCACTCCAGTGCAGGCACTGCTCCACCTCTGCAGCAACTGCGTGTCCCCCCGCTGCACATCACCTCCATCCACCACTTGGGATGCACAAACACCTAGAAAAAAAAACATCCATAAAAATCCATGGATTTGTTCTGTTTTACGACCCAGAAGGGATCTTTTAGACATGAAATTGGACCATAAGGCTCGAATTTGTTTGGTTGAAAATAATTCTGGCAAATAAAATCTGAGTTTTCAAAAAAAACGGAAGCTCATACCATCATTTGGTAAACTTGGGCCATAAAACAAGAAAGACCCAAGTCAACAAAATAATTTTTCTTTCGTATTTCTATCTCGGTTACGATTGGTTAAAACATTATTTATCTGCTTTCTGACAAGTATGCATAAGCGGTTGTCTACTTCTTATGTTTCTGTTCCAATTTTCGTAACGAAAGTAATGGAATATTGTGCTCGGGGTGGGTTTTTTTTTTCTTCAGACAAACTTTGACTTTTTAACTAGCCATTTTTGACGGAATTTTTTTTCATCATTCGAAAACTATTGTTGTCCTAAGCTTAAATTTGAAGAGATATTTTGCCTGTGATCTTTTTTTCGTAAAATTAAGGGGGTTTAAAGATCGCCATTTTGGCCAATTTGGGACAATTAACGCGCAATATGTTTCGCGCTTTTAACGCGTAAGCGAGATTTAATCCGTCGTAAAAACTGTTCCAAATTGGTTTAAGGAAGATTTTATGCAATAATTGATTTGTTAATAGGAGCAAAATCTATCACTTTGTACATTATATGGCGTGTGGGGGGATGTTTTCACAAAAAATCTAAAATTTTCTAGAAAAGAAATGTTAGTTTTATTTTATTACATTTGAAATTTCCATGTTATTACTGCTCAAAAGGCATCGGAACATTCAGGGCTTCGCCTTGATACGAGCAGTCTTGTTCATGTTTCTATTCTAGTGCGTGGCGTGAATCTCCGCTTGGCATCTGTGTGAGTTTTCAGATCCTCGACTCCAATAGCATACACTACAATAGTTTCGGCCGTTGAGAAATTTTGCATAGTTTTGCTTTTTAGAATTTTAAAAGTTAACTTTACACCAGCCATTTTTGCCAACAGAGCATAAGAATACAAAAAGACGGCTCGAGACAAGCAAAATTTTGATCTTTCTGATTGTTGTTTAAAAAGTCTAAAATATATAAAGTGCCTAATTTTTTGTGTCTATCAAAGCCATATTCGAATCATTTTGAAAGTGGCAATTCCATTCAAAATTATTTTTGTGTAGATAGAGAATCGAACGTTTTGAAAAAAATGACATTTTTCAAAATCCCATAAGTCAAAACGAAATCTGATAGTGTATTTTCAAAAAAAAAACTTTTACAAAAAAGCAGCTGCATTTTTTTCCTTGAAAAAATTTATTCTGCCTAAAATAAAACATAATCTGAAGAAAAAAGAACTCTATCAAAACAGAAAGCTAAATTTTAGAGTTGCATGAAACAAGACAAACATCTGGTGACAAGATATTTAATAAATAGGACAAATTTGGAAGACAAACAAAAGTTTATCATGATATAAAGTTTATTAAAACAAGTCTAAAACAATTGAAAAACATTTTTGAAAAATCAAAAAAAATTAGCATGGGCTTCCTTGCGCAGAGTTTTTTATGAGCAATTTTTTTTTAAAATAATTTTAAAATTTTTTTTTTGATGTTTCGAATTTTCAATTTTTTGGAGCACTGAGACATTTTCTGAAATATAAAGCTCCGAGAAATAACTTCATCATTTTTTTAAAGTATACTCAATTTTGGTTGCTCATCAACGTCATTGAAAAAATCTCGACAGCAAACATGATCAGTAGAGTTTATCTCGACCTCAAAAAAACTTGTAAAATTCTCGACCGCGATAATATTTGTAAACTGAAGCTTACAAGTTTAAAAACGCTGCCACATTGAAATTGCTATGAGCGTGCATTCGGATAATCCAAATTGTGCGAAACAAGTAAAAAGTTTCATTTCTTACTATGAAATGGCACAAAAAGCCATATAACTGAAAACGAAACAACAAACTATCAAAAAAGGCCAATGAGGACAACAAAGCATCTAACAAAATTTACATTGACAAAAACAACCCGAAAAGAATAGCCAGTTGTTGTGCAAGTAGCACAGAAGTTCCCACCTCATTCCGATCTTAATCCGATTCATTTTTGTGCAATGCTTATTAAAAGAACCAAGACTGCTTGTATCATGGCGAAGCCCTGAATGTTCCGACTGCCTTTTAAGGTTTATGGAGCAGTAATAACATTTAAAAACATTTAATAAAATAAAATGAATTTTTTTTTATAAAATTCAATTTTTTTTGACAGTCATCCCCCCACGCGCCATATAAAGTACAAAAGGATAAATTTTGCTCCTTGTTACAAATCAATTATGGCAAATCAGCTTCGTTCAACCAATTTGGAACTATTTCTAAGAATTAAATCTCCGCTTACGCATTAAAAGCGCGAAATATTTCGCGCGTTAATTGTCCCAAAGTGGCCAAAATGGCAATCTTTAAACCCCCATAACCTTACGAAAAATGATCACAGGTGAAATATCTTTTCAAATTTAAACTCAGGACAACAATACCTTTTTAATGATATAAAAAAATTCCGTCAAAAATGGCTAGTTAAAAAGTCGAAATTTGTCTGAAGAAAAAAAGACCCACCCCGAGCACAAAATTTCCGTTAATTTCGTATCGAAAGTCGGAACAACAAGAAAAAACCTTATGAAACGTTAAATGAGTCAGTTTTTGTTGTCTCTGAAAAATGAATAACAAATCAAAAACTTCAAAAAAAGTTTTGAAATTCCTTTTTTGAGTTGTTTTCAGAAAACTTTATTGCCAAAGAAGTGTTTTTTAAAGCTTTGAAAGTTTTTCTGGTTTCAAAATAAAAGGTAATTTTCCTATCATAAGAGTTACTTTCTAGCTGTTTTCGATTGAACTTAGGCTAGAACAAAAAGTTCACAATCTTGATTTTCTCGACACTGAAAATACTTTTTGGAAAAAGTAGTCCGAATCATCTGAAAGGGCTTTGATATGATTTGATTTATCTATCGACTCTCTCCGATATTTACTTATTTTGTACCTAACTTTGCCTAATATATACCCTTTTTGGCTAAATAAATATACCTAATATACCTAATATTACCTAATATGTACCTTATTTTGCGTGGAAAACGTTTTTTTTAAAAGACAAAATAAAGCGCACCCGATAATATTGTTCCTCCCGTTTTTCAGAAATCAAAAGAAAACCATTGGTGTATTTTTTTTCTTCAAGTTTTCGTGTTTTTTATAATAGAAGAAAAATTTTTGTTGTTGGTCCTTACACATTATTGCCCCCAACAGATCTCTATTCAAAGTCCGTTCTGTTTTCAAGAATTCAATCGCTTTGTCTTGTTTTAAATATTTTTTCTTTTTGTATAATGATTATTTAAAAAAAAATTCCACATATATGCTTAACCACTAATAAACAAACTTCAACCTTTTTTTGTTTGTGGATAAGCTTCTAAAACCACGAGTTACAAAATAAAACTGATGTTTCTACCTAGTAATGGCAAGAGGGGATAAAAGATTCAATACATCAGGTAAAATACAGAAGCGATGCAATACAAAAATAGTACGGCTGCGAGCCGCAAAAAGTTAGACAAAAAATGAAACAAAAATATCAAAAAAAAACATTGAATAATTTTTTTTTCACAAAAAAAAATAATAAAAAATTAAGAATTGATTCACAACAAACAGTTTCAAGAATCTAGTAAAAAAAGGCCATTAAAAATACTGAGATGTTCAAGAAGTATCTCTTGGCCAGAAAAAGGTATCGGGTGATCTTCTTCCAAAGGTTAATTTTTTGAGGTTAATCAAGCTAAAAATCAGGCTATCTTACGTGGTGCAAGATGACGTTGTACATTGCAGCGCTCATTCGATTTTTATTCGCAATTTCATTATTGCTGAGCACCATCACTACCTTACCAGTCTGGTATGATGACTTCCTCACAAAAAACGGTTCTTCCTCTTTCTTACCATTTGTGAGTTCCTGTGTGGACACTGTTGCTCCCACCCCCCTACCGGCCCTCTCCTCTCGTGATGTTTCCTGCATTATGTCAGAGTATGACTGTGATTGTGCCAGGGTGGAGAGGGTGGGTAATGATGCATTGTTGTCCGCTCCCCCTCCCCCGCCCCCGCCCCCTTTGTACTGACTGCCCTTTCTCGAATGAGTGGTCTGCACGTCCTGTCGTATGCTCTCGATCTCATCCTTATCCACCAGTTTCAGTGAACTTCGCGCCCTTTCCTGTCTAACAAAGAATACTGTGAAAAGACGGTTTCGATGTATGAATTAAATGTCTTGTTAGTAAGCAAACCGTAGTTCAGAAAGTAAGTCGGAGACAAAAAGATAGCTGTCATCCGAAGGTGACAGACAAACTCCGAAGGTTAAATACCGGTTAGCGCCAGACAGATAATTGAAATAGATAACACGACTAGAATTGAAACATGAACTAAATTTAGATACTATGACATTTCCCTCCTTGTAATAAATAATACTCAAATCCAATATCCAATATCTATGTTAACCGTAAACAATAGGGTTAATAACAAGTTTTCAAATCAAGTTTTTCAAATCAACTACAGTTCTTTTAAACACAAACTTTTGAGTTTTTGCTGGTACACAGCATGCCCTCTCCCTGGACCTTCCCATTTTAGCAAAGTTTTATAGATTGTTTTGAGCTCCATTTTATTCATCATCTTTTCACTCTTTTTCTTCGATTGCTCCGGCTTTGTCCGTTTTTCTAATGTTGTCAATCATGACCCCCCCCCCCCCATCTTGGTCACTGCGGTCCGCTTCCTGCCCGAACGTCTCGAGCTTGTTTCATCCAACGAGCTGGCCGAATCTTGGCTAGAATAGGAAACAAGTCGTTGTTTCCGGCCCCGTTTCTTTCCCCCGGTTACTGATATATGCTTTGGTTCGCGCTCCGTTTCTTGTGGTTCGATTCCTCCGGTATTTGTTTCTTGTGGTTCGGCTCCTTCGATATTTGTTCTCCCCCAGTCATTTCCGATTCCTGTTTCACCTGCCAACGTGTCTCCTTGTTCCGTCTCCTTATTACTGGGACGAACCCCGATGGCCTCTGGTTGAACTGGATCCCGTCCCCCACTAGATGTTCCCTGTCCATCTTCTCGACCGTTTTCTCGCCCTCTTGTTGGTTTCGCCACTAGGATGGTTGTACTCAGTGGTAACTGGTCCTCCGATTCTGAGTCAGAATTTTCTGCGGATTCCAGAATTTGGAATTTTGCTCCCTTTCCCATGATGTTGTGCTGACTTTCCTTAGTGCCTCTTGAGCTGCCTGGTTGGTTTTGTCTCAATTTTAGCTTCCTTTTCAGATCCCACGGCGTTGGTGGTGTAGGTAATGGTCCTCCCGGCACCCGCTTTTTCGGAACTTTGGCCTTCCTGAGCGCTACTCCTGATTTCCTAAGCACCGCACCGTTACTCATTTTAATAGTATGTTCAGTTTGATCAACTATTTTGGACTTTAATGGTCTATACCTATTCATGTTTCGCTCCCCGGTCCTCTGCATTACCACTGCCGGTGGTACCTCCACAGGGTCGTTTGGTGCCCGTGCAATCCGAGGCTCATCATCTTGATTAGCTGCCTGTTCCTCGGCCAATCTTAGTGGTCCCCGTCTATTTTTCCGGTCATACTCAGTATCCGATCGGATTCCCCAGTTGGTGTCCATCGGCTTCGGCATTGTTTGAGCTATCGGGTCTCGTTCATCTAAACATTCATATTTCGATCGTATTACATTTTCCCAATTTAGATTCCGTAACGTAGGTTTTTTAGTCAGGTTCCTGAGGACAGTATTAGCTTCCCGGCCGTGGTGCGCTTCGAACGGTGTTATATTGAGGGATGCGTTTTTCACAAATATTAGGGCTCCGAGGGCTCTTTCAACCATTCGATCCAAGGGTTCCGGTTTATCCTCCCGCGCATACGTCAGCACTGAATTTTTAATGCTACCAATCGTGCGCTCAACACATCCTGTTGCTCTATGATCATTCACTGGCGAAGTGAGGACTTCAATTCCTTGTTCATGACAGAATGTTTTAACTTCCTTAGACATAAAGTTTGTTCCCTGGTCAACTCTGATTTGGCGCGGAACTCCATGAGCGATTATGTAGGCTTTTAAAAATTTTATAATTTTATCCGAACGGTTCGAAATACAGACCATAGCTGATGGCCATCGAGAGAACCGGTCCACCGCCACCAAAACATACTTTTTAGATTCCTTCAAGTAGTTAATGGGTCCCCAAAAATCCAATTGGACTGATTCATTCGGCTCTTTTGGTTCAGGTATTTTCCCTATATCGTCCTTCGAACACATGTTTTTCAAGTTCTTACCCGCTAATGTGCATTCCGGACAATTCCCAGCGATAGTTGCGAGACTACGAAACATGTAAGGGTACCAGATGTCCTTAGCGGCGTCGATCATGCTGGATTTCCCGTGGTGATAATAGTGGAGTCTATTGACCACCGCCGTCTGCAAAGTATTAGGGATCACTAGCCTCTCGTCCATCCACAGGCATCCGTCTCTTACGTGGAAGTCATGAGTATACTGTGCGAAGTACTTACTCATTGCTGCAATTTTCGAGTGTAACTGGGGGTCTTTAGATTTAATTAACTCGATAATAGCTTGTAACTGTGGATCAGACTGGTATTGCGATTCTATAAATCGAAGATTAAATAATTCGGGAAGAGCGGATTGTTTGCTGACTACTTTACAATTTCTTGGTATAATAGACATTACTTTATTTTCCGGATTGACCGGTGGATAACTCTCACCAGGGTAAACCGACGGAATCGAAATAATGGTGTTGGTTTTAGTGCTCCGGACTTCTGTTGTAACCGCCTGTATATTTACATCAATCTCCTCTATATCATCACTACTGCTAATGCTAGGGTGTCGTTCCAATAATTTCTTGAGTTTCCTTTCCATGATTAAATAGCTTGAATTGTTAATGTTGATTGACGAGTTTAAAGATTTTGAGTAACCAAAGTTAGCTTCAATAATAGTCCCAACTGAATTTTTGCTAAACTCAATTGACCTGCCGGGAATGCAATTCGTCGCTCTGTGATTGGTCCAATTTCCGTCGCATGATCACTCGCCCTCTACCGGTCGTTTTCTATTCGATATATTACAAATGCGTCTATTATTAGTAACCGATGGAGACTCGAGTTTATTTCTAAATCCGAGAGCGGATCTAATTCTACTAATTTTCGCGACCGTAAACATACTATCGTAGGTGCTAATCGGTTGAGGATTTAAACACGGGTGCCTTGAAAGATAATCAGCGAGTCCTATTTTTGCTCCGGGTTTATGTTCTACTTGAAAATCGAACGGTATAAGACGATCTAACCATCTTGTTATTCTGCTGAACATTGTTTTGTTCTTTTTGTTGTTCCCATTTAGCAATGACACTAATGCCTTATGGTCCGTAACTATTAAAAACTTTCTTCCCAGCACATAATTTCGGAAGTATTCCGCGCCCCACACAACTGCTAACATCTCCAATTCATTCGTTGAGTAATTTTTTTCTGCTGCGTTCAAATACCGGGATGCGAATGATATTGGCCGCCAACCGTCGGAATTTAGTTGCTCAAGGACCGCTCCGAGCCCATTATGACTAGCGTCACACACAATTCTTGTGTCTCTGTGTATATCAAAGTGCCGAAGTTCCACTATATTAGCCACTTGCTTTTTCAGGTTCTCGAATGATATTTGACATTCATCGCTCCAGACAAAATCGTTTTTCCGGCTTAATAATGGGCGTAATGACGCTGATGATTCCGCGAGCGCCGGAAGATATTTGTGCAAACTGTGAATGGAGCCCATGAACGATTTAAGTTGTGACACCGTTTTTGGTGCTTTTAGCGATTCGATCGGATCTGTTTTCCGGACGAGTGGTGTTATTCCTGTACGGGTTATTTTGTGTCCCAACCATTCACATTCTTTCCGCGCAAATTGGCATTTAATGAGCTTAAGTGCCATGTTTTCGCGATCCAGCTTCCGCAAAATTTTTTCAACTGTCGAGATATGCTCGATCTCCGTGCCTTTGGTGACCACCAAGATGTCATCAATAAAAGCATGTGCCTGCGGAAATTCCGCAAGAATCGTGTCCATTACTCGTTGAAATTCAGCTGGCATGGTAGTAAGACCGTAGAACCCCGTACGAAAGCGGTACGTGCCCGTTGATTTTCCTCCCACCAGCAAAAATTGCATTGAACGCTCGTTTCCGGGCTAAGTGGTAATTGGCCGTACGCGTACGTAAGATCCATAGTAGAAAAATATATGTCCCCTGATTTCCGTTCGCTAATCGTTTGTCCTACCGTATCCATAAGCTCCTCTATATTCGGCATTTCGTATTTATTTTTGTGGACTTGCTTGTTTAACTCTCTTGATTCTAGCGCTAATTTTACTGATCCGTCCTTTTTCACTGTTATTACAATCGGGGAAACAAAATATTTATCCGAACATTCCTTTAGCTTTTCAATGTGTCCTTGCCGTAAAAGTTTATCAATTTCTTTATCAACCTTTTCTTGCAACGTGATGGGCACTCTACGTCCTTTTTGTTGAATTGGCGTTAACGTTTCGAAAAAATCCGCGTGTACCTTATAATTCTTAATTTTTCCGACTCTGTTAAAAAGATTTTCAAACTGCTTACTGAAGTAGATCTGCCAGTTGTCTAGTGAGTCCTCCACATCCGTCTCCTCAACTGTGCCTTGATCGCTCTGTACCGACATCACATTTTCCTCCGGTGCCTTCTGCACGATCTGTAATCCAAGATTTGGCATTAGGTCTCGTCCAATAATTGATGGTCTGCTTCCTCCAATCACTCTGATATTTGCGTTGGCCACCCATCCGTTTGTTTCTAATAGTACGTCCATCGTTCCTAGTAGTCGTAATGGGTTGTTTCCGTAATCCCTGAACTCCTCATCCTCCGGTGCCGGTGCCTTCACCTTGACGCCTGCGGTGCCCAATGTCCGTTTCAATTCCCCAATGGTGAATATCGAAATCGGTGATCCACTGTCTATCCACACGTTTGTTTGCTTTCCGTTTACCTTAATTGGTAGTCGGGAGCCGGCCACTTTAAGATCTGTTTCTTTCCGAGATTTGATGGCCATAACAACGTAATCCCCTGAGCTATCCGAATCCCACGATCGTTGTTTCTTGACCGGTTGTTTCTTGACCGGCGTATTAACCCAGCCGACGGAATTCTCGTGCTGGGAATATGTATCCTCCGCGTCGTCTACTTCAGTAGTTTCCATATCTTCCTGATTTTGAATCAGTCCCACTGCCGGTCTTCCCCGATTATTTCGCTTTCCCCTACAAGTCCTCTCGTAATGTCCCGTCTTCCTGCAGAAGTTACACGTAGCATTTTTCGCTGGACACGTTGTGATGTGCTCCGGAGTAAAATTGGGTTGGTCACAATTATAGCATCTTCTGGCACCACCCCCTCTCATGTCTGCTCTCCCCCTAAACGATCCGCGGCCCCGCTGTCTGTTGTTTCTGTAACCACCTCGGATGGCCCCCACTGGTTCCGTCTTGATTTGGAACGCACCAGCTCCGCCGGCAATCCCACTAGTTCCTCCCCCGGTTATCGATCCGTATGACTTAGCATATTTGAATCTCCACGTTCATATGAAAGTGCAATACGATACACCTCCTCTGGTGTCTTCGTCGAGCGGCATAGCTCATTTTGGGCCTCCCTATTGTTCATATTTACGATGAACACATCCCGCAAAATCCTGGTCTTCAATGCTCCAAAATTACATCGAGCGGCTAACCCACTCAACACTCAGTGGAATTGTTCCAGCGATTCTCCTATTTGTTGCTTTCGTGCCAATAGTTGGAATGTTTCGTAAGTTTCGTTTCGTTCCTTCCGAAATTCGGTTTCGATAGTATCCAAAACTCGAGAATACCTTGTTGCAGCGAGATCCAGGTGTGGTTTTCTTTTATGTAGCTCATCCTGTCCTTTCTCCCCCAGGCACAAATACAAATTCGAGATAAGCGTTTGCTCCGACACCAGGCGATTTTTCCCACCGACCTCCTCTGGTAAATCTGCAAGTTGCGCTGCTGTTAACGTACTGGCATAATAGAAGTTCCGTGGATTTATGCTATGTTTGGCCACCATCCCCCATATAAAACGATTGAACCAAAACTCCCATAGCATTGGTGGTTCTGCGAGCGTCGAGGGCCAAAACGATGTAATTCCCAGTGGGTTCTTCCCCCCACTTTGGCCTGTTGGCTGCGCCATGTGAAAAGACGGTTTCGATGAATGAATTAATTGTCTTGTTAATAAGCAAACCGTAGTTCAGAAAGTAAGTCGGAGACAATAAGATAGCTGTCATCCGAAGGTGACAGACAAACTCCGAAGGTTAAATACCGGTTAGCGCCAGACAGATAATTGAAATAGATAACACGACTAGAATTGAAACATGAACTAAATTTAGATACTATGACAATACACTAAATTTTACAAAGAGCTTCCGATTATCCGATTTATCATATGACTATGAAGTAAAAAAAATGAAAACATTTTGGACGCCAAAAACATTCAATTCGTTCGCTCCAGTATAGAAAACACAGAACAACATATTCATTACTGCATTAGGATAGCCAGAATAGGCTATTCAGTCTAGCAAGTAGCTTTCCTCTGGAATAACTATCTCAATTAGGTAACGACAAAAAGTGACAACAAACAAATCCGAAAAAATGTCGACCAGCTGAACGTTGCCTACAAAATAATTGTTTTTGGAAAAATAAAAATAACTGAAAATTAGTCATCTGAAACCGTTTTTGTCTTAGATGATCAAAAGGAATCTTACCATTTGAAGTGAATCATTTATTTTTACGACTGCTTAATTTTCAAAAAATAAACTGATGAACATTTTATTCTTAAAAAAATTGTTTTTTTTTGAAAAGTTGAGACAAATAGATTTAATGAAGTTTAATGAAGTTTTCTGATCAAGTTTTTGCTTAAAAAAACAGTTCCTAGTGTTCTTTTCTGGCACATATAAGTTGTTTCCCAATTTGCAGTACTTGTAGTGCCATAGATAAGGAGACCATATGATATTACAGACACTACAAAAGCCCATTAGAACCCTAATAACGCTTTCGACAGAACGTTCCTACTTTTATACATTATTCTTTCCCTCTAAAAAACTCACTGCTAGTCTGCCGTGTGTCCTTACCCGAAGAGAGGGTTATTTTTGGCTTTTATCTTCATGCTGCAGCCACTGTACGAAGACTGTGGCGTGTGTAGAAACGACAGTCTCTTTCTCAAGTCCAGTGATTCTCTATTCTGATTGGACAGGTTAGAAATGGAGTTGGAAGAAGATTCGCGCATCATGCTCTCATTGCGTACCACATTCTGAAGGGAGAGCAGCTGAGGCTGGGCAAGAGCGGGGATCGAACCCTGGTACGAAGCAATCACTACTTCTTTCAACGCACTGGTCCATCGCTCTTTCACCTTATGAAATTTAAAACCATAAACGATCATTCAAAATTAAAAGACCGGATTACTAAACATGGGTCCCAATGATGTTATTTTTTCGGAGCAAATTTGCAAAAACACTGTTGCATCCAAAAAAAAATATATTTATATAATTTAGAAATAGACGTAGTTCAAAGCTTTCCCACCTGCAATTTTACAAAATACCTTGAATTCAAGCAGTGGTGAGTAATGACCATAAAATTGGTTTTACCTCAATGGAGGGCGCGAGGAATGTCATGGAGGGAGAGGTGTTGTCGTGGGGGGCCACTTGGAAGGACAGGTGGTCCTTCAGACTGGTCTTCTCCAGCAAGATTAGGTTGTCGTGGAAGATGTGTGCCTTGTGCTGCAGGAACCCACTCTCTGTTATCTTAGTCACTGGACAAACAAACCACAATTGAGAGAACATCATTGAATACATGGGCGCATTTTAAAGGGGGGGGGTTTGTTGACGCTTTTTCTTTCGGGATTCGACCGAACGGGGTCGAACAAAGTCGAACAATCCCTTCCCTGCAAGAAGACTCTTTTTGCAGGGAAGACGACCCAAAGACTCCCTCTTTGGTACTATTTTAGGACATCCCCTTTCGCTGACCACAACTAATATTTTTCTAAGGCGCCTTAGACGCCAAATTATACTAACAAGAAACTCCTAGATCCACCCCTGAATGTATACAAGCTTGAGTTCATATTTTAAAAAATGAAACTAGCACCAGTCTTCCAAACTGAATCCCAGTGAAACCGCCTTTAACCAAAATCCAATTTGAACCAATTTAGCCTAAATCTCTACTGAAAAGTTTCCTGTCGAAACCACAGAATGATTGTATTTGGCAAATTTCTCGATACAGAAGCAATTTTTTTGAGAAGAAATAAATTTTAATATTTTTTAAAATAAGTTTTGACTGAAAATTGCGGTCTTAGCGCACAACCCCCCCCCCCCCTACAAAATTGAGAAACTGAAGTCGGTCAGACAGACAGACATCTTTGGCGTAAAGAAGAACCAAAGGGGGCGCTTTGGAAAAATTAGGGCACTGAAAAAGAAAGAGAGAGAGATTATCTTGCATTTTGTGCTGTACATATCCGTCGAAAGATTCATATTATTTAAAACCAACGACGATGTGTGTTAAATATAGTGTTAAACTATATGGCCTCATACCATACCGAGAAGTATTTTGTCGAATAGGAACAGTTGTCGGTAGTCCCTAGCCCCCAGCAGCCGCATCTCCCCCTCCAGTCGGATGCCCCCGAACGAGGTCAACAATCCCCCCTGCCATTTCCCCTGGCCCTGTCCCTGTCCCTGACCACGTGATCCTCTCTGAGCGTTCCCCTGTTGGTACTGGCGGTTCGATTGTGGGCGGGGCCAGTCTATGAGGATGCTCTGAATCTCCTGCACGTGCACTTTGTCCTCGTACCGTCTCTGGATCTCATTCACCTGACTGGCCACTGATGTCATCGCATCCAGACTCTCACAGATCAAACTACCCAAAAAAAAACAAGTAGTGTGAAACTCAAACATTAACAGACCACAAACGGTCAGATGATGGAACAACTTCCAACATAAAGCGCATTCAGCACTCCTTGGTACCCACCTGTAACCTCTGTGGTCCAGTTGATGCTGGCAACTCTTGGCAATCTCTTGCAACAACAGATGGTATTTGAGGATCCTCTGGACTGGCTTCAGCATATAGGACGCCAGAGGTAACACGTGACCCATATCCGCCTGCATCTCCTGCAGTTTGTGCAATGTTGCAGTGCCTGCACCGCCTCTGTTCGGTGTGAGGTGAGAGGAGAGAAGGCTGACTGCATTGGGGTAGTTGGCACAGTAGAAAGAGTAGAGAGACACGAAACTGTCCTGCTCATTTATGAATGTCTGTGCTAAAATTTAAGCAACCAAATTCTCTAGAGTTGCATGTCTCTATGCTGCATGCCCACAAAGTACATTTTTATGCAACAAGCACAGAAAATGCAACCGTTTACATGTTTTTTTGATTTTTTTTTTCAAATCTTCTTGGATTTTACTGTTACTAAAGATTTGGATGGCGTCTTTTTTGCGGTATAGATAGCAGATAATCCCTAAAATCTGATGTAAATTTTCATTACGCTGCGTTAATTCTTGCTTACATTTTTTTGGTTTTTCACATTAATAAACTATACCTTTTGCAGAAAATGGCAATTTATGCTTTGAGGTTTCGTGGCTTTTTTGTCTTCGCATTTTTTTGTTCGGGAGGTTTACTCATCTTGTAAAGATTACATTAGATTACTGCTGCAGCATGGCACCAAGGGCGGAAGAAGACGCATCAAAAACAAACTGAATTACTTCACACGCGTCTATTTCCATCATTTATGTCGTTGCGCAGAGTAAACTTTTGTCTGACTTTTACAGAACGTGTGATTTTAACAAAACTCGAAGTTTTTTATTGTCTTGTGTGAAGAGAGTAATTTCTTTTAAGCTTCTATAAAGCTTCAAGCCGCCAAAACAAAATTGACCAACAACCCAGCGCAATGCAATTAATATCGGAATTTGGCTACCATTTGCTGGCTGCTGCAAAAATAACGATCTCCATAACTTAAGAAACAGCAAAATGAGAGAAAAATTATAAAAACACCCATTTGAAAAACACTGTCTAAGGCATGTCTTTAAAACTACAAATTTCAAATCTAACAAGACCGCTCGTATCATAGCGAAACCCTGAGTGCCCCGACTGACTGCCGTTTAAGGTCTGCGGAGCAGTGTTTTTTCGAAGCATTATTAAATTTTTCAAACAAAATCTTAAAATTTTTTGAGATTTTTTTAAAATCATCGCCCCACACGCCATAATAAGTTAAAAATGATAGATTTTGATCCTAAAAACGTAGCAATTATGACAACTAGCCTGCTTCAACCAATTTGGAACAATTTCTAAGTCGGATTAAATCTTCGCTCACGCATTTATAGCGTGAAATATATCCCAATTGTCACATATTGGCCATATTAGCAATCTTTAAACCCTACAACTTTACAAACAAGCAATCACAGGTGAATTTTTTTTAAACTTGAGCCGTAGACAACAATTCTTCTCGAATGATATTTTGAAAAATCCGTAGAAATTTCTAGTTTAAATGTCTAAATTTGAGTAGAGAAAAAATCCCGAGCACAAATATTTCGTCATTTTCTCGAAAATAGTCAAAACAACAAAGATTCAGTTGGGTTAAAAGTCAGAGTCATCAATTTCAATATCATCAACTTGGGCTGATAATCGAAAAAATGCACACCGATGTTTTTCAGCACCGAAACGAGACCTGTTGTTTTTTTGTTATAGACTTTTGTTTTTAATATTGGGTCACCGCCGAACAGGCTTTAATCTGACGCTTTAAACTTAAATTTAGAGAGATACCCAAACACCACAGTCCTTTTTCGAGAGATACCCAAACGCCACAGAGAGCCTTTTAGAGAGATACCCAAACGCCACAGCCCTTTTTCCCACTTTCCATCGGCACAATAACTAAAAAAATTGTTACACTATTTACACAATTATTTATCTTCGCATTACTTGTGATACAACACAATCATAGAAAAGAATGAGTAAATAAATGAAAAAATCTTTTAAAAAAACTAGGTAAACCAATACTTTCGTATGTCTCGATGAAGGACAACTAGGGCTCAACTAAAGCTGGAGGCAAGTATTTGGTATTTTTTTTACTTTGTTATACTGATGCGGGACAAAACGCGTAATTTTAAAAATTGGACTTTGCCTAAAACCTTAGTTGTTTCTCTTCTAAAATAATTAAGAAGAATTGAACTTTTTGAGATATTCGAAATTTTGTAAGGATAAAACCTCAGACCAAATTAAGGAGTGGCCACTTCTGCGGAACAAAAATTGCACAACCGCTTCTTTCGATGAAAATTTTCAACTCAGATTTGATAGGGTAGTTTCTAAAATTCAAAAAGTTTCTTAAAACGGTCAAATTTCAAACACTTGACTTTCCGAAATCGGTAACTTTTTTCTGCTGAAGCAGATTGTGGCCAGAAAAGCAGATAATATTTCTAAAATCGGGTTTCTCGATTGAACACTTAACCTGAGAATTAGCACGGTAACTTTCGAGTGGAGTAAGAAACTTCCAAAAACCGGTTTAATTTTAAAAATAGTTTTTGGTTGAAGTCCATAACTTTTGTTTAAAAAAAAAGAAGAAATAACAACTTGATGGGTCGATTAAACTTATGATATCAAATTTGGCAGGATAGTCATCGAGAAAAGTCCAAAAAATAGTCACACAATCAGAAAGTTCACATTTCCGAGAATCTTAGCTTTTGTTTTAAAAATTTGGGCGTAGCCCCTTGTGCAGAAAAGACTCACACAACCTGTTATTTTCATTCATTCATTTTTGTTCATTGGAAATTATTCATGAAAAAAAAACCAAAAAAAAAACAAAAAATATCAGTCAAATTTAATTTTTTTTGAAAATCGGTAGAAAAGTTTTTGAGAAAAAAAAAACTTTTTGCAAAAAGTATTAAAGTTTACCAAACGCCCCAAAATATATAAAATAAAAAACCCATAGACTTTCATATTACTTGTTTTTATCAAAGAGTAATTCCAAGCAAACATGTTTTAAAATCAAATTAGCAACTGAACAAAACTCACGAAGCGGAAACAAGGCCGACAATCTTTGAGCAGACACCAGTTGAGCCAAAAAAAACTTATTATGCGAATAACTTTAAAAAATTGGAAGTCCCCCTAAAAGTACCCATATTAGCACCCAGCCAACAGTTAAATTTTGAATTTTCACGAAATTGAGCATGTCAGCTGAAGAGTGATTCACTTATGTCACTGATGTTAAGTGATTCACTGATTTTGTTAAACTAGTTGTTAACCCGAAAAAATGTCTACATTCCGATTTGATAGCGCTTGCTTATCGCAAGCGTAACTATCTTAGTTGCCACGTTGCCAAAACTACTGCTTGTGTTTGACATCGAAAAAAAAATACATTACGAAACATTCTTTTCAGTTTGAGTAAGGCAACTGAAAAAGTTCCATTATAAAAACTCAATCGCTATGATACTGCATTTTCTGGTAGTGGGTTACATTAGCCGAGACTTTAATATGACAGTTTGATTTTTAAGAAAACAGATGTGTTTGGTTTTCATAATTAGAAAAAATATAGATAAAAACAATCGATTTTTTTTTGAAAATTTCAATTTGCTACAAATAAGCAAAAGTCCTGAATTAAATAAGCCTATTATAGCAAACTGTAAATAGTTAATTGATTGAATCGTTTGTTTTAAGCTTCTTTTCAAAGTCGTTGACAATCACCAATGCAATTTCTGCTTCCACTGAGCAAACTAGCTGTCTTAGTGAGGACCCTTAACAGGGGCGGATTTAGGGGGGCAGGGGGCGTCCCCCCTCAGTGATTCGCCCCCTGCCCACCCAAAGAGTCCCCTTAATACTATTATGAAATATCCATTTTTGGCTGATGGACCCTGAAAATTTTCTAAAGGCGCATTCGGCGCCAATATAATCTAAATTTGAGGGGGTAGCGCGCGCCGAAAAAACGCGATTTTTTTGGTCAACATTTTTCAAAAAGTGCCCAATAATGCCTTTTTTGGACTGTTTTTTTTTCAAAATTTGGCCAGAACAGGAACTTTTTGGTGCTATGGAAGAGCTCGAAAAATTAATTTGGTCGACCTAAAAAAAACGGTCGACAAAAATTTCGAAAATTTTTTGAAAACCCGCCCCCCCTCGAGAAAATCCTAGACCCACCCCTGGTCCTTACCAATTTGTGCGACATCAAATCTGTGTTTAGCCAACTGTGAATGCAGTTTCTTGTGAAAAGCCTTCAGCTCCCACACATTTCCGAACAGGATCCTAAGCTCACTCTCGGAGAATAAAACGGAAAGTTGCTGCTGGCTCATCTGGCAATCCTCCGGAATGGAACTGGAACTCTTCTTACGACCATCCTAGATAATAACAACAGTAACTTCAGTTGGACCTCGTTTAGCACATCATTTTTAGTTAAGACCATTCAAATTCCGAAAGTATATTCCAAAAAGTTTATCTTCATGTCAATTATTTCGCTATTCAGACCAAGTAACTACGGGGGAAGTGCTTCTAATAGCATAGTCGGAAGATTCTGTGCTGCTCCACAGCAGCAGGGGGTACAGTATTTAGGCCAAAATTTTTGGTCGAGTCAAAATTTTCTTATATCTAACTATTGGGCTTTCCATATTATAGTGAACGGATTATTAATTTTTAATACTACGAGGTGGAGTAAAAATTATAATTGATCAACAGACGTACCAAAATAAAAGGAGCAGTTCATGCTTTGTTACAAAAACTACGAATATACTAAAGTCAGTTAATTGGCGAGGTACCGATTGTCAATTTACCATTTGCTTTTGAATGAAAAACAAAATCAATTAATTCTTGGAAACAATTTTTTGAAGCTGTAAAACGGAACTGCGTGATCTAAAATAAAGTTGATAAAAATTTGGAAAACAACTTCATAGCTTAATTCAAGGGCAGATCTAGGTTTTCTCAAAGGGTGGTGGCGGATTTTCAAACATTTCTGAAACTTTTGCCGACTTTTTTTATCGTCGACTAAATTGATTTTCTGAGCTATCCCAAATCACTAAAAGAACCCTGTGTTGACGAAATTGACAACGGCGCAGACAAACAAATTTTTGAGAAAACATGCCAAAAAGCGTTTTGAGGCTCTTTTTGAAAAGTTATGTTCATAGCACCGTGTTTTTTTGGCGTGCACGTCTCCCTTAAATTTCGTATATATTAGCGCCAAAACCGCCTTAAGAAAAGTTTTAGTGGTCGGCCAGCCGTAAATGTATCTCTTAGAATAGTACCAAAGGGGGACCTTTTGGGTAGTCAGGCGGTCGAATCCCCGAGGGGAAGCGTCCCCCCCCCCCCCCTAATCCGCTACAGGTTTAATTCTTTGCCTGGAAAAATAGATGAGAGCTGCTGGCCCAGGATCTCCTCAACGAAGGAATGAAGAGAGCCAGATTGGAGGTTGATTGCGTAACAGCACTCCTGCAGCTAGCGTCATTATGAAATGAGGATGACGTAACACTGATTTGGTCGAAGGTGTTGTCGAACTGCTCCTGTTTGCTTACCTCCTCTAACAGGCCTTTGTAGTACCCTTCGCAGATGTCAGTCAAGTCCACAAGATAAGATTTCTCGGTGCGTAACAATTCCCGGACAACTAAGTAAGCGATCTCTTCGACTATTTTCCCCTATTGTAACTAGCAAAAAGACTACAAGGATATCAGTTTGCAGTGCAAGTTGCACAAAGTTTCCGACTACTGTAAAAAATTTCTAAAAGAAATATATCGAAAATTTTAAGAACCAAGCGAATCAAAAATCTAATAAATTCTTGTAAAAATTTTGTAGTATTTTTTTGCAAATCTTTTTCATTAGCAAGAAAAAACTGAGCTGGCGTCACTAATAAGCTACTCAATTAACATGAAAACAGCAGTAACTTATATATCCTCTCTTAGTATTTAGTCAGTCTGTAATAATATGAATATGTTCAACTCAGTTTTTCTTGACACTAACCTTTTTTTGGGATCGGAGCAACGAATGAAAGACCTTTCACGTGAACCACGCATTTTGTCCTACGAGTTTTAGAAAATACTGAATTTGCGTGAAAAAATAACCCTTTTACGTGAAATAATCGGATTATTTTCCCATTTTTTTGAGTGATCACCGACTTGTGTCGCGGCTTCGAGCTCAACTCAAAGTGACTTCTCGTCCCCAGATTCTTACTAGCAAAGCTGCTGATTCTCGGAAAAAAGTCGAGTACTTCAACCCGGGTCGAAAAAAACCTCTATCAAAAGATTATAAAATAACATAGCCTTTTAAAAAGTACATAGAAAAAGTGCAATTTGAAACGGTATATTAAAAACAAAAAATTTCAAAAATCATTGGTTAATATCAAATTTGATACTCCTTTTGATACAGGAGAGAGGGAATAGTTGAAGAAATCCCTAAATTGCAAGAGCTCATTTTGCTTCAGTTGGTTCAAACTAATATCAATCAGTCTGTGCTCAACTGTGCAAATAACATATCACTAGTATGTGGAGTTAAATATTATCCAAAAACTGTTTTTGATGCTTTATTTTTTTAATCTCAACTAAAGTATAGTTTTAGTCTTTGAGGATTAATTTTTATCTAAAGCACCAAATTCAACTTAGAAAGTGGATTCATTCGATTCGTTTCAGTGCCACATCCACCAGACAATTTGAATCAATTGGTGCATATAATATTCTTTTGGAGTTTTTTCAGCCAACTATTTCCAGTTTTTTTTAAGTCCCAGCATAATGGGACTAGAGCAACCAAAATGTGTTCGCATTCAGAACACGTGTCAACAGCGCTTGAACGCGGATTCTGTCATACTTTGCCAGTTTTGTGTTCTACTGAGTTCGGCTTCAAAACTTTTTGTCCCGTTTAAAAAAGGAATCCTTTGTGCAGAAAGCCCCCCGATACCCGAAAACACCGTCCATCTTAACATTCATCATTCGCAACTCAATTTTTGATAATCTCGGAGAAAGAAACTAGGACGATTTTAGTCAGTTTTGGAAAATTCAAACGTAGTCTGGTTGAAACTTTCGCTCCTTTAATTTTTCTGCCGCGAGAACAGCCCCCGTTTGAAAAAAAAGAGAGATTGCACTTTCAGACGCACAACTTTGAGAGTTGGTAGCTAATTCATTTTTAGTTACTCTAAAACAGCACCATTTGTTCCTGTCCACATGTCACAGTGCCAATAGATCTCCAAGGAGTCAACTGTCTGCTGAGAAATCAAAATTAAGCGGTCCATTTATGGAATAATTACATTACACAGCTTCAAGTCCCGAGCTATAATGATTCAAGTGAAACAAAATATTTATCAAAGCCATTTTTGATTTTTTTTTCGGGAACAATACTAGGGTTAACCTGTTAAACTATTATTATAAAGTGAATTACAACGCAGGCAAGTGAATTACAAAGCAGGCAGAATTTGGATAGATGCCCGTTAAATCGAAAAAAATTCTCGCCATAAAATTTTTTGAAACAGTAATAGTCTTTGGCAAAACCAGCAAAGTAAGTACACTTGCATGAAAAACCTATATTTTTCCTTCGAAAAACGTAATTTGAGGCGGCTTAGCCAATATAGCATCAGCCGAAAAATTACCAGACAACGCATTAAACACCGGAGACATTATTAGACATAAATGCATATATAGCCAAAAAACAAGACCCGGTGGGAATCTTTGGAATCTCTGCAAGAAGAAAATTAATGATTTATTTAAAAAGCAAGGTCAATTTCAAATCTGCTGTAAAAAGGTTGTTAACGACAAAAAAATATATATACTTCACAACATAATTACTAAGAACTTGCTCTCGCAAATGTAAAGATTTAATAACACACATCAACCGTTGAATTTTATCAAGGTAAATTTTTGTTATAAAGTTTTTTCTCCCTGATGAAGAAAAAATTCTTTCAGATGGAGAAGATGCCCGCCACGCTCACTTTAAATTCACGCCTCCATTGTAAATATTTTCATTAAGTTTTCAACGAGAAAAAATTCATTCTGTAGAGAACCCAACAATTCTCGATGAATCGATTTACCGTGTGCAAATTTTAAAAAAAAAATTGCTAAAATATGATGGTCATTTGAAGTTAAATTTTGATGTTTGACAGTTTCGTTGTTTCTACGGCTAATTTTTCAATTCAGTCTGTTTTTACAACGCGTTTATTTCAACTTTCAAATACGTTTTAACTGTTAAGTTAACAGTTAGGAGCATGCTGAATAATTAACGACTTTTGAAAAAATTTACTAAATATTTGAGCTAGGGGTTTTTTAAAAGACAAGTTTAAACGTTTTAATTAGACATTTTTTACTAGAAGCTAGATTTAAGCAGTTTGAAAATTATTGATCCTAAAAACAAAATATAGAAAAATGAACTCAACAGATCACTGGCTGAAATTATCTCTTTATTGTTCCGACTTTCAAAGAAAGTGACGGAATATTTGTGCTCGGGTGATTTTTTTCAATCGAATTTTGACTTTTTAATTAACCATTTTTGACTGAAACTAACGCGTAATATATTGTGTGCTATTAACGCGTAAGCCGAGATTTAAACCTTCTCAAAAATTGTTGCAAATCGAAATGAGGCATGCTATTTGATCTATTTAATACTTAGCTATATGATAAATATTTTACTTTGTACTTAACATAGCGTGTGGGGGGATGATTTTTGCAGTAAAGTCTGAATTTTTACTTAAAAAATGTTGTCAACTTTTTCTAAAGCGAACACTACATTCATGGTTTCTGAAGCGAACACTACATATGGGCAGTCTTGTTGTTCCGACTTTCGATACGAAAGTAACGGAAGATTTGTGCTCGGGGTGGGTTTTTTTTTCTTCAGACAAATTTCGACTTTTTAACTAGCCACTTTTGACGGATTTTTTTTATATCATTCAAAAGGTATTGTTGTCCTGAGCTCAAATTTGAAAAGATATTTTTTTGTGATTATTTTTTGATTAAGTTATGGGGTTTAAAGATTGCCATTTCGGCCAATTTGGGACAATTAACGCGCGATATATTTCGCGCATTTAACGCGTAAGCGGAGAGTTAATCCGTCTTAAAATTGCTCCAAATTGATTGAAAGAAGCTTATTTGCCATAATTGTTTTGTTACAAGGAGCAAAATCTATCCTCTTGTACTTTATATGGCTTGTGGGGGGATGATTTTTATTTTAAAAAAAATTAAATGTAAAAAAAATAAAATAAAAATGTTTTTTTCTTAAAATTGAAATTTTTAATGTTATTACTTTTCCATAAAGCTTTAAAAGGCAGTCGGAACATTCAGGGCTTCGCCTTGATACAAGGAGTCTTATTTTACTTATGCTCAGTGTGGGTTGTTTTCTATAAGAGTAGATAGCGAATTAATTGGGCTTATAAACCATTTCAAATGGAATTGGGCTAGGCTAACTGATTCAAATATACCGTTGATTGTTAGTCATTTTTTACCGTTGAATGGAATTGGAGAAGGCTAACTGATTCTAATATACCGTTGAAAGTTAGTCATTTTTGACTTGGCGTTGCCTGTTGGAAAGTATTTCAAAGTAAAAGTCTCGAAGGTTTCAGGGTTTGTTTTGGTGTTCGTTGCAATGAATTTGCTTGTGTTAATGCTTGTGTTCCATTTATGTACAGGCTCAAAATATTTCGGTTCTCATTCTTAGTTCAAAAAAATGACAAAAAAAATAGGGCTCGAAAAGTATTTACTTCGGACTTTTTTCAGTTGATTTTTTAATTACCCATTTTGACGGGATTTTACATCAGCTGAAATCTGCTGATGCCGTAAGCCGATCGATACTGCATCTGCGATCATTTTTCTAAGTTAGGGGGTTTGAACGTGCCAACTCAGGATAATCAAAGCGATATGTTCCATGCCTTGTAAAGCGTAAGCGGCTATTTACCTTATTCCGCGCTGATTCGAGACTAGCAATGTGGTCTTATTATTAAATTCCTGGACGCAAAATACCAGACTCGTAATATTTGTTATTTACATAGCGTCCTGAGAACAAAATAAAGGAGAAAAATTGAAATGTTTTAGCATTTGTCGAGCATTAAAATCACCAGGTCTTTAAAAAGCAGCCAGTACATTCAAGACATGTTCAAAATTTCTAGGCAAAAGAAGGAATAAAATGATTTTCATAAATAATTAAAGAGTCATAAGAAAATAGAACAAGGATAGCCGGTTACTGTGCAAGTATCACAGAACGTTCCGACCATAGTCTTATAAAATACAACTAAGATTTTTCAAATTATTGTCGTTTTTATTCGGCGTGGTGTGATAAAAGGAACTGAACAAAAGCTGGGGATTAGGTATATTTGACAGTCACATTAAAATAAGCAAACTGAAAAACAATTTTTCCAGAAAAATTTCTAGAGAAACGAGAAAATTAAAAAGTTCGAAAAATTTTTCAAGTTTTTTTTATTCCAAAAAGGCGTTAAAATGCTCAAAGTAAGCCAACGTTACCCAAGTAAAGCTAAGTTTTTACGTTTTAAATTAAGCTATTGTAAGCTTTTAAGCAATAATAAGACTGCTCGCTCGCTTTATTCGCTCGAAGTAAGATTAGCTTGAAGTAAATATTTTTGATGTGGTTCGAATCACGACTGTAAGGGCTTTAATATGAGATATCAACCCAGTCTCATCATTATTTGTGGTATGACTTTGCGTGGAAAATGGATTGAAAAATGGATTGGACTTCAATCTTAATTGTTTTCACGGCTGTTTTTTTATCTCAGCTGTTTTTACCGCTGTGAACGAAGTGAAGTTCGAGTGGAAACAAACGGGAAGTAACTTGAACCGACAACCACTCTCGGCGTGTACCTTCTTAAGCACGCCTTGTTCGATTCGTTGCCAGAACCATTGCTAGGATTTTTTACTCTATCATCTGTTTGGCAAACGAGAAAATTTAATTTTTAATCTAATAGGATAATGTCTTTTCTAATTTCAAATCAAAGGCAAGTTAAATTGATGAGTCGTGTCATGGGAGTTGTCTTGCCTCGTATAGTTTCTATTATCTCTTGTTTTTCATTTGAAACTCATTGAGTTCATTTTGTGCACAATTTCCGACTGCTGCCTCAGTAAACTGTGCTGCTCTCCCATTGGCTGACGAGACGATGTCTCTCTCGCCTTTCGCATCTGATCAACTAACTCTCTCATTTTATTGATTCGTGTGTTCAGTCGCTCGTAATTGTCATTTGAGAGTGCTTTTTTTCGGATTGTGAGCTCGACGTACTGTTGCCAAATAGGGTAGCAGGGTGCAGTCTCGGATGCGAGTAAGAGGGCAGTGGCGTCCCCCACCACATAGACTGCCGAGATGGCCCGCGTGAGTGCTGTGCACACTAATTTGGGGTCTGTAACACAGAAAATATCATTAGCTCAGAGGTATATAATGCTCAAGATGATGCTGCAAAACACTAAATTTCTCAAATATTCTCACAATTCTCATTTTTCAATTTTTAATTTTTTCCATGTAAAATTGAAGCAAATATTGACGGAGAACTCTGTTCTATTATTGGCGCAAACGATATTCATTGAATCACTGTGTTTATTAAGTCATCTGTGTTTGTGAAACAGTTACGGGATCTTTTACTGCTCATTCCAGACGTAAACATCTAGCTTACAGAGTAAATCTGTAGGTGTTGCAAGGTTATGTGTATATAAGGGAAAATGTAGCCAGCTAATTTGCGTTCAAAATTTCATTGAACGATTGGAAAACATATTGGAAAGTTTTTCATATTAAAAGCTATGGATTGTTGAAAGCGTTAACAGCGTCATGTCGCGTTGATTACTCTAGACTAGTCTAGTCTATAACAATGTACTGTGTCGCAGTATGTAATGCGACCTGCGAGGAATCCAAGGTCGTTGTGTCTCTTTGTATTGTCCGTGAGTGTGTCCATGACAGATTTGACATCTGTGACTAGCGAGAGGATGAGTAGTCTGTACTGTCTTCCCTGTATGTTCCTCACTAAGTCCACGTCCACTACTGCCACTGATGAATCGCTACAATCCAAACTCAATTCTTCCTCCCAAAGACACTCTCGGATAGCCTGTAACATACTTATAGTTAGTGCCCAAAAATGTTTTTGGCAAAATTCTAGTCGGTCAAGCAAGCCTAATTATATACAATTAGACAACATTGATTATTTTATTAGTGCCCTTAGTTATGTTTTAGGCAAAAACAATGAGCTTTTTCTTTTTGAAATGCGCAAAAATAGATTTCGGAGGCCACGTCAGAAATCTATTTTTGCGTATTTCAATAAATAAAAGCTCCTTGTTTTTGCCTAAAACACAACTAAAGGGCACTACTATTGCCAAAAACTTGGCATTTACTATATTTGGAGCCAAACTGTCGGCAATATTGGTAACACTGAGCGTTTTAGTCGGTAAACACTGTTTACGTGTTATTGTTCCGACTTTCGAAGAAAACGGAATATTTATGCTCGGTGTGGTTTTTTTATTCAGTCAATTTTCGCCGATCGAAATAATAACTTTCAACGAAAAATTTTTATACCCCATTGAAGGTATCGACTTCTTGAGTTCAAATTTAAAAAGATATTAAGCCTCCGATCATTTTTTGCTGAGTTTTGGGGGTTTGAAAATTGCCAAATTGTCCATGTTCTGGACTAAATTATGCGCGCTTTGAAGAGTTTATTCATAATGCTGAGAGCATAACGCAAATTATTTATGCGTGGCGAATTAGGCCGCACAACAAAATCGTTCCAAATAGAATTGAGGCTAGCTAATTAGTCGTATTAATTTCGTAGGACTCAAAATTTTACACTTTGATTTTGTCCAAAATTTATAGGTTTCAATATTTTCTTTTCCCAAAAATTATTCGATATGGATTAAGGGACAGTTGGAACATTCAGGGCTTTTCACTGATATACGAGCAGTCTTGTTGTTCCGATTTTCGATACGAAAGTAACGGAATATTTGTGCTCGGGGTGGGTTTTTTTTTCTTCAGACAAATTTCGACTTTTTAACTAGCCATTTTTGACGGAATTTTTTTATACCATTCAAAATTTATAGGTTTCAATATTTTCTTTTCCCAAAAATTATTCGATATGGATTAAGGGACAGTTGGAACATTCAGGGCTTTTCACTGATATACGAGCAGTCTTGTTGTTCCGATTTTCGATACGAAAGTAACGGAATATTTGTGCTCGGGGTGGGTTTTTTTTTCTTCAGACAAATTTCGACTTTTTAACTAGCCATTTTTGACGGAATTTTTTTATACCATTCAAAAGGTATTGTTGTCCTGAGCTTAAATTTGAAAAGATATTTTATCTGTGATCGTTTTTCGTAGAGTTACGGGGGGTTAAAGATTGCCATTTTGGCCAATTTGGGACAATTAACGCGCGATATAATTCGCGCTATTAACGCGTAAGCGGAGAGTTAATCCGTCTTATAAATCGTTCCAAATTGGTTGAACGAAGCTATTTTGCCATAATTGATTTGTTACAAGGAACAAAATCTCTCTTTTTGTACTCTATATGGCGTGTGGGGGATGATTTTCATAAAAAATTTCAAATTTTAGAAAAAAAATTTTCATTTTATTTTATTTCATTCAATTTTTTTATGCTATTACTGCTGCTCAATAAACCTTAAAAGGCAGTCGGAACATTCAAGGCTTCGCCCTGATACGAGCAGTCTTGTTGTTCCGACTTTCGATACGAAAGTAACGGAATATTTGTGCTCGGGGTGGGTTTTTTTTTTCTTCAGACAAATTTCGACTTTTTAACTAGCCATTTTTGACGGAGGTTTTTTATAGCATTCGAAAGTTATTGTTGTCCTGAGCTCAAATTTGAAAAGATATTTCACCTGTGATCATTTTTCGTAAAGTTATGGGGGTTTAAAGATTGCCATTTTGGTCAATTTGGGACAATTAACGCGCGATATATTTCGCGCTATTAACGCGTAAGCGGAGAGTTAATCCGTCTTATAAATTGTTCCAAATTGGTTTAACGAAGCTTATTTGCCATAATTGATTTGTTACAAGTAGCGAAACTTATCCTTTTGTACTTTATATGGCGTGTGGGGGGATAATTTTTAAAAAAAAATTCAAATTTAAAAAAAAATTTCATTTTGTTTTATTACTTTTAATTTTGTAATGTTATTACTGCTCCATAAACCTTAATAGGCAGTCGGAACATTCAGGGCTTCGCCCTGATACGAGCAGTCTTGTTATGATTTAAAAGAAGTTTATGAGATCCAATGCGCGGTATTATCTCAATTAAACTCGTTCAGATTGTTTGATCGAATCGATATTGCCCCCCCCCCCCTCAATTCTGGTTGCCAAATTTTTCCAAAGGGTCCCCCTTTGGTATAACTTTATGACATCAGTGGCGTGCGCAGAAGATTTTTCAACAAAATAGGGTCATTATACTATTTTGGGAGAGCTCGAAAAATCAACCGCCCCCCCCCCCCCCCTAGAAAAATTTCTGCGCACGCCACTGATTAGTCGGCATATCTATGCAACAAACAAGAGTGTAAAAAACCCAACTCATAGAAGGATTGATCAAGAATTGTCTAATGCAAAGTATGTCGTGACTTGCCTTCACTTGGCCCTCGTAGCACGTGACGATTCCTATGCCCTGTGTCTTGAGCCAGGGGGCATCTACATTGGCCAGCAGAATACTACGTACCAGTGAGGCGACCTGGTTCGCCTCTGCCCAGTTGCAGGGAGAGGCCACTTTCGGGTGGACACTCACTCTGCTCCCCGGCACGCCCCAGAACTGCAGGGGGTGGTTGATTCCTATACACATTTACAATAACACCGTTGAAACTATATATTTTTTTATCTGGCGGGGAATTGGTAGAAGAATCTATACAAGAGATAATAAAAAACTTTCGTATGGAGTTCATAGCCACGTGCAGCAACGCATAAGAGAACCAAATACTTTGCTTTTTTTCTTCAATTTCAAAAGACTTTTGTTACAGGTTTAGCGAGAGTCTCCCGAACCATTTTTGGTGCCAGAATGAATATCTGGCACCAAAAATGCTCACAAGTTTTTGCTGGTCACAATTTTTCGTTTAAAAATAAGTTTAAAAAATGCTTCGGAAATCACAATACAATCTCAACTTATACTTGGGTGAATGCCCCAGAAGCCCATATTAGACCAGTGACCGTTTTATTGCTTTGAGGTAATTTGCATTACCTGGAATCGATTGTTCCGATTTGGTCTCGCTCTGGTCATTGTACATCATATGGTAGAAGTGTCCATAGGCGAACTTGAGGATCTCCACGTGAGATCTGTAGTTCACGTCCAGGTCAAATCGGAACCCACAGCGTTTGTTGTACACCATTTGGGAGAACCTCTGCACAATTGAGTGGCAGAAGGAATCGGATAGAGCTCTGCTGAACAGAAATGGATTCAATTGCATCACATCACCAGTCATGCACAGCTTGTTTCTGGTCGACGCAAAAGCTAACACAGGCACTAGGAAGAATTCGGCTACCTGAGCAGCTTCGTCTATGAACACGTGACTGAAGTGATCCACATCAAAGTTCAACTTATGTAGAAGCATCGTAGCCGACAAGGTAACTATGACTACATTTTTGTTCTCGATTTCTTCTCTTCTCGGATCTCTGAACTTCGGCAGCGTTCCACCAGAACAGTTGGAGTATTTCAGCAAATCCCGATCGACCGAGCTCAAATCGTCATCTTCTGAAAACAGGCGAATGCATTTGTCGCCGAGATTGGATTCAACGAGCTGACGATGATACGCGTTGCCTGTGTTTCTCGACACAATGCAGATAAGAATTCTACAAGAGTAGAAGTCTTTTACTATTTTAGTAGTGGCATGAGCGATCGTGTATGTTTTGCCAGTGCCGAATGGCCCACTGATAAGTATGGGCGGGTAGGACTTGCTCTTTGTAGTGTCATTGAACCAACATGCTTCGCAGGCCTCTTGTTGCTTGTAGTTCAAATCCGAGAGAAAGTATCGCTCTCTGAACTGATTTTGATAATTTTGGACTTTTTGGTGCTCCGCGGGAGTCCTCCTCAAACAACTTGCATTCTTGCATTTGTATTGTCGCCTCCAGTCTTGCTCGCATTGCATAATGTTAACTTTATTCTGATTGATCAACGCAATTTGTTCGTGCTCTTCCAGAAGATCCAACGTAGGCACATACCATGGAGGTTTCTGGCTGTAACTGAGTTCGAATGCGTCAGGCACCAACGGGGACACATCTGCAATTTGATCTATGGAATAATGACAATGCAGGAAAAGTTTTCTGTTGAGGAGCAACTCAACATACATGTATTCACTGCGTCCTTCTTCGTACCTGAGAGAAGTGATCTCTTCTTTGTTCAGTTGAGCAACCAAATAGTAATTCCGCACCTCTCTTCTCAAGTCATAAATAGAGTACGTCTCTGTCTCAGCTCGGAAGAATCTATTCACAATTTTGCCAGAAATGCAGTTGATTGAGACGTCAGACCTGTCCCAGTCCCCCCTGCGAGACAGAATTACGTATGCAGCTACATCATTCAGAGCTTCGCCTCTGATGGAGTTCTCAGTTACCGTAAACGGACATTTGCAAATTGCAAAAAGAGTCTTCTTGTTGGCTTTGATGTACTTATTGTCTCCGTTCGGATATGCAGTGACAAAGTCGACATTAGCTTGGAACGAGATGTCATCAAGGGCACTTGTCTGGGCCATTTCCTCCAAGAAGAGAGCTCTGTGCATATCACCCTTGTAAGACTCTTTTCTCATTTCTCGCACATCCGGTGGTCCGAGCTCGGAACAATCTGGACGCAGTTTGTACCTGTCTTCTAAATTTTTTGTCCAGTTGTCCATACGATAGTCAGAAGTCACGACCCTGCGCTTCTTTACTCCCATGTGGGGAGCTGAGTAAGTTTCGATGGACTCTCGTTCGTAACTCTGCCCGGCAAATCCTTCAGGCACTTTAACGACTTGAATATATTTCTCAAAAACAGTTTCGTTGGATAAATGAAACTGTATACAAACTTCTACTTTTTGCTCTTTTCCTGAATTAGCTGGAGGATTGTATTCAACCTGCACAACAGCGAAAGTAACTTTTTTCCCATTTGTATCTTTCCAATTCAGACATCCCTCATGAAGTAAAGCATCTACAGCTACAACATCTGTGCGATGATGAGCTGAGATTTGGGATAATTTGAACTCAGTTCTTTCCATTTGATCGAGTGTGATTTCCTTCAAGTAAACTTCTTTCCTGCAGCGCAACGAAAAGTTCCACTGTCTAATTTTTCCCATTCCGCTTTTGCTCAGAACCAGAAGAGGTATGTCCCATGCTAATGAGTAGAATGGGGTTCGAACCTCATCCTTAACGATTTTGAGTCTGTAATAACTGGTTCTTCCCTGTTCCTCCAAATCCCGATAGAACAAGTCTGTTGTGTTTGGGACAACCATGTTTCCATTTGACGAGTTTGCATGAATGTTTTGTTGATAATGAATTGGATTGACACCAGAAGAATTAACCAGGGGTGGTTGTTGACTGACAGCTTGCGGCTGAATTATATTAGTATGCATACTGTTTCCCTGTTGCAGAGGTAGCAATCCAGGTTGCCCATAATTTGGTATCATCGGTGGATTCGGATTGATGTTCGTGTTCATGGCGCCCTGGACTGTAGCTGCATTCTGCGCCATTAAGAGCATCTGGAGTTGATATTGTTGTTGATGCTGCTGCTGTTGTTGTTGTAGTAGTATTTGTTCTTCTTTCTGTTGTTGTTGCTGTATAGTGGCCAACTGGATTGGAGCAAACGGGTTGATCATTCCTGGATTAAACGGTGGTACTTGTTGCCATGGATTCTGAGATATCATATTTGAGGGGTAATTTGGCGGTCTTTGATTCATCATCATTGCCTGATGAATTAGCATCTGCTGTTGCTGATGCTGCTGCTTAAGGAATTCTTGTTGGGAATGCATTGATGCCATTATAGTGTTCACTTGTTTCGTCAAATCTGATTCTTGCTTCTGGGGGCTACTCGAACTATGGGCGTTTGTAAGTGGTGTGGCGCCTTCTCGGAAATAAGTTTTGTTTGTGTTCTGAGGGACTTGAGATGCATTGATCGCAGGTGTTGATACCGTAGCGCCAGCATGACTATCACTGGCAGTCGGTTTCACTGTTGTCCCTGCATTTAGAGGGGTGCTTTGAAGGGAAGTTGTGGGCTCTTTCCGTCCAGGATATTGGCCAGTGGCGTGCAGATACGCTTCATTTTGATTTTGAGGTGGCTTGCTTTCTCGCTTCATCGCTCCTTCCCCAGCAGTTTTCAATCGAGCTGAAGAACCTTGGCTGGAACTGAATCCTGAAGGTCCCAATGTCTGTGAGTTTTCCAGATCATCCGCATTACCTGCCACCGGTTTACTGGCTTCTGAAAACGACTTGCTGCTGTTTTGCCTATAGTGACTCGTCCAACTATACTTAGCATCGCTGGCGCTGTTTCTCTTGTCATCGTTGTTATTGTTTTTGTCGCCTTTTGATGGTCTCTTCCATGAGAATTCTCTCTGACTCCTAAAAAATATTCTCTTTTCATTGGCAAATGATGGGTTAGAAAAAGGTTACTCATATTGGCTACAATACATCACGGATTTCGCAGTTTCAGTGCTTCTAAGTTTGAATAGTTTGGTCACGGAATGCGCAACCAACAAAACTTCAAAGGATTTAGCTGCCGTTACGGATTCGGTGAGACCTAAACTCACTGGTTTAAAACCACCGAATCTGCAAATTCACAAGTTACACACCTAGGCTTCGCAATTAACTCCCCAAATTGCCCAAAACACAGCGACAGATCATTTTATGAAACTTTATGCAATTCAAATATGAACCCACATTTTGAAAGTCAACTATTGAGATATGCGCGGCATTATTCAAGGATTGGTTAAATATTTATTTAAAAGTGCAACTATTTATTTAGAAGTGATTGTAGACATTCAAGTCTGAATGGATAATTAATCCTTTTTGGCAACTCAGGATTATGGCTAGATAGGGTTTGAGAAGAAAAAAATGGATTCCGTGTAACGATGCTTTTGATAAAACATTTTAAATGATTTGTATGAAACATACGCTGCGTACAGAACTAATTTGAAAACTTAGCGTGGTTTCCATTTTTTGGTCCCCAGTCAAAAACTGAAGATCTTTCCTAAAAACCCAAATCATAATAAAACAAGACTGCTCGTATCAGGGCAAAGCCCTGAATGTTCCGACTGCCCTTTAAGGTTTATGGAGCAGTAATAACATTTAAAAATTCAATGAAATAAAACAAAATGAAAAAAAAAAATTTTTTCTAAAATTTAAAACTTTTTATGAAAATCATCCCCCCACACGCCATATAAAGTACAAAAGGATAGATTTCGCTCCTTGTAACAAACCAATTATGGCAAACAAGCTTCTTTTAACCAATTTGGAACAATTTCTAAGACGGATTAAATCTCTGCTTACGCGTTATTAGCGCGCAATATATCGCGCGTTAATTGTCCCAAATTGACCAAAATGGTAATCTTTAAACCCCCGTAAATTTACGAAAAATGATCACAGGTGAAATATCTTTTCAAATTTGAGCTCAAGACAACAATACCTTTCGAATGATATAAAAAAATTCCGTCAAAAATGGCTAGTTAAAAAGTCGAAATTTGTCTGAAGAAAAAAAAACCCACCCCGAGCACAAATATTCCGTTACTTTCGTATCGAAAGTCGGAACAATAATTAAACTTGAAACAAAAAAATCTGTTTTACAAATAACATTTTAAGCATGCAACATATTTTTCGTTGAGCGTAAGCAAAATAAACGTGATTTTTAAATTATACAAGACTGCTCGTAACAGGGCGAAGCCCTGAATGTTCCGACTGCCTTTTAAGGTTTATGGAGCAGTAATAGTATTTAAAAATTCAATGAAATAAAAAAAATGAAAAAAACTTTTTTTTTTTAAATTTGAAATTTTTTATGAAAAACATCCCCCCACACCATATAAAGTACAAAAGGATAGATTTCGCTCCTTGTAACAAACCAATTATGGCAAATAAGCTTCTTTTAACCAATTTGGAACAATTTCTAAGACGGATTAACTCTCCGCTTACGCGTTAATAGCGCAAAATATATCGCGCGTTAATTGTCCCAAATTGGCCAAAATTGCAATCTTTAAACCCCCGTAACTTTACGAAAAATGATCACAGGTGAAATATCTTTTCAAATTTGAGCTCAGGACAACAATACCTTTCGAATGATATAAAAAAATTTCGTCAAAAATGGCTAGTTAAAAAGTCGAAATTTGTCTGAAGAAAAAAAAACCCACCCCGAGCACAAATATTCCGTTACTTTCGTATCGAAAGTCGGAACAACAAGACTGCTCGTATCAGGGCGAAGCCCTGAATGTTCCGACTGCCTTTTAAGGTTTATGGAGCAGTAATAACATTAAAAAATTCAATGAAATAAAACAAAATGAAAAAAAAAATTCTAAAATTTGAATTTTTTTTTTAATAAAAATCATCCCCCCACACGCCATATAAAGTACAAAAGGATAGATTTCGCTCCTTGTAACAAACCAATTATGGCAAAAAGGCTTCTTTTAACCAATTTGGAACGATTTTTAAGATGGATTAACTCTCCGCTTACGCGTTAATAACGCGAAATATATCGCGCGTTAATTGTCCCAAATTGGCCAAAATGGCAATCTTTAAACCCCTGTAACTTTACAAAAAATGATCACAGGTGAAATATCTTTTCAAATTCGAGCTCAGGACAACAATACCTTTCGATTGATATAAAAAATTCCGTCAAAAATGGCTAGTTAAAAAGTCGAAATTTGTCTGAAGAAAAAAAAACCCACCCCGAGCACAAATATTCCGTTACTTTCGTATCGAAAGTCGGAACAATAAGTACAAAAAAACAATGACCGAAGTTCCAATACATGTTATCCATAAGCTTGTAGTATGCTAATTTTTAACTATTTCAAAATATCAAAAGCTGAACACAATTTCAACAGCTTCACATCATTTACAAAGCACGATAATGATCATAAAAGCCTGTATTTGACAAATTATTAGTTTCATGAACAAAAGTCATGAAATTTCAAATTTAAGGGAACTTATAAATTAGACCAATGACTCTTTCACAAAGCGAAAAACAGCAGAAACAATCGGAACGTTAAAAGTTTCTCTGATACAGAAAAGGAAAACATTATACATAAATCACAAAAAAAGAAATAGCAAGACCAGTTATAAAGTATAGTCAGCTAATGCTCCAGCAGAATTAATAGTCCCGAGAAGACGTATCCTAGCAAAAAAGAAAAGACCCGATAAAATTTTAAAAAATACCACTAAACTATGTAGACAAATTATTTGCAGTAATCATTTTCAAACTAAAATCAACATTACGAGTTATTAAATGAAATTGAGTCACCTGAAAAATTCAAAACAAAAACGCTATAACAACATCAGTTTTTAAATGTATATTAAAAAATTAACTTTTACATTAAAACAGAGAGGCTAAGCTGAGCTTCGCACCACTTGCGATTGAAAACAAACATAAAAACATAAGTCGAGGCATTTTCTTATGCCTCGATAGAAGCTCATTCTAGTTAAACATGCCAAAATTTTGAGTATTAATCTAGCAGCGGAACAAAACTTACGAAGAGAAAACACAGCCGGTAATCTTTGAGGAAAAGCCTATTGAGCTGGAAAAAAATATCTGATTTAATTTTTTTTTAAATGAAGTCCACTTCCCTAAACCTACAATAAACAACACTTGAAAACGGATCACCATCCGCAAACAGATACAAATTAGCTAGACGTAAGTAATGAATGATACATTTTTCTTTCATTAGCGAACAGGAAACAAAAGTTATTTCAATAGTTTCTTGTTTTGTTGAAACTACCCAAAATTGGAAAAACGCAACAAATGCATCAGGAAACTTAGCAGACAGCAACTTGACTTGAAATTGCAAACCGGTGAAATTATCCAGCAATTTTGATTAAAATTTTCAAAAAAAATTGTTTAAAAATTTCAAACTTGCTGATTTCTCGTTTTTCAAATGAAAAAATGTTCTTACGTCTCGATAGAAGTTCATTCTAGGTTAACGTGCCAGAAAAATTAGTATTAAATTAGCAGCGGAACAAAATTTACGAAGAGAAAACACAGCCGGCAATCTTTGAGCAGACACTTGTTGAGCTGAAAAAAAAAGCTTTAAAAAATTTTAAAAAAAATTGAAGTCCACTTCCCTGAACTTACAAAAAACAACACTTGTAAACGGATCACCGCCCGAAAACCGATACAAATTAGACAAAAAAAAGTAAAAAATATTAAATATTTTTCATTAGCGAACAGAAAACAGAAAAAATTGTTTCAATAGTTAATTAATTTGTTGAAACTACCCAAAGTTGGAGAAACGCAACAAATGCATCAGGAAACTTAGCAGACGGCAACTCGACTTGACATTGCAAAACGGTAAACTCGTCTAGCAATTTTGATTGAAATTATTTAAAAAAAAAAGATTTCAAAAAATTCAGATTTGCTGCTTTCTCGTTTTTCGAATGAAACAACTACCTTTCAAAACAAATTGAACTAAAAAGCGAAGAACAGATATTTTCAATTGTTGTAGAAAACTTCAGAAAAATAAACAAGAAAATTTGCGCCAAAAAACGTTTAAAAAAACAGCTGATTGAACAATCAACAGCATCAAAGGTTTAAACCAAATATGCTAAGCAAATTGAAAAAAAATTATGAAAAAATTACAAAAACTTAAAATTTTGGATTTTTTCGTTTAAAAGTTTCACTTTTAGTAAAATAGCCTGGAAAGTTGATTTGATTTTTCCAAAATATATTGTAAGACTTCAACCATTCTTTCAAAAAGCAAGCAGTAATTGAACAAAAAAAATCTGAAAATAAGCCGACGGAATAAGCCGATACTCAAGTGCCGAAAATATACCAAAAAATTTCGGCACAAAAACACTATGAACGGAGCGCTGAACAGGCACGTAAGGCCCATGCCTAACATGCACCCACTACATTCACCTATCCAGTGAAACACGGGTAACATTTTCGAAATCTCTGCCTTACGGATATTTACGGGAAAAAAGACTAACAACCGATTGCAATACCATTGCTTATCGCAAGAGTAATAATTATTGTTAAAAAATTACACTGAGTCGAAGTGAAGGAAAACATACAAATGTGCTGCCCTCGAACGACCAAAAATTAAGCTAGTAAGCCGATAAAAAATAAGCCGAAATCATTTGGGCCGAATACTTTTTCAAGCAAAAAAAAAAGAAACTATACGAAGTCAAGCCTAGTAGAATTACAAACTGCATGAGTAAATGAAAACATAGACAACAACTCCAATGGAAATATGCAACGCAATTACAAAGAAAACTGCAAACAGAAAAAATCTAAAGATGTTGTAACTAAGCCAGCATCAGCAGACAAATATTAAAAAAAAAACATCAGCAGACAAATAAAAAGCCGACAATTTTTTTGGAACGGAATATTTCCCGTTTGAAAAAAAAACAGGTTCTGGTCT